TCAACCTTTGTTAAACAAATTCAATCAAATATGTCTTTTGATCTTATTGTTTGTGATATCAAGAATATATTTTTTAAATCTCATAATACTTCTAAGTTCAAATTTAAGAATAATCTATTCTACTTTGAGGGATGATTATATATTTTAGAAGGTAAAGCATAATTATGTATTCTTTAAGCTCGTTATAACTTTTCAACAGCTTGACATTTTAGATGCAACAAGACTTGAGAACTAATTACTAGAGATTTATAGAAGCCTCAAATGTAGAAGGCAGTTAAAGACTGTGAACAATCATGTGATATTTATTCAAGATCCAAAATTCTTTTTCATCAACTTTATAGACTTCTTTAGCCATTACTTATTCCAAAACAACCATAGTCTTCTATTTTTATCGATTTTATTATGGATCTTTCAATCTTAGGTTTGTATAATTTTATATTTATAATAGTAGATTATTTTACTTAAATGGAATATTTTATACCATATACAAAATCTATCATAAGTAGAGAAATGACTAAGTTTTTTCTCAACAACATCTATTACTATCATGGATTATCTAAAGATATTATATCAGATAGAGTAACTCAATTTTATATCAAGATTTTAGAAAATCCTTTCTAAGATATTAAAGGTCGATATAAATTTTATTTTGGCTTTTTATCTTCAAATTTGCAAATAAATAGAATGGATGAATGAAATTCTCGAGCAATATTTGAGGTATACCATTAATTATCATAACTACTTTTCCTTCTCATAAGTTGGACTATCGTAGGCTTAAATCTTTTTATATTAGTAAATAACTCAATCATATTGCTTATCAGTTAAATATACCAAAGTCTACAAAGATTCATCTTATATTCTATGTGTCTCTTTTTAAACCATATAAGACAATGAATATCTCGAGAAGAAGACAAATGCCACTTCTTTCTATAGAAATGGATAATAATCAAGAATTCAAGATAGAAGAAGTCTTAGATTCAATGCAACATCAAAATAAGTTAGAATATCTTATTAATTGGCATAGATATGATATTAATGAACATACATGAGAGCTAACAAAAAATCTTATAAATACAATAAAAAAGGTTGATATTTATTTTTATCAACGACATCCATCAAAATCAAGATAAAGAATAACAAATCTTTACTATAAAAGAAATAAGATTTAGAGAAGATAGAAATCTATCTTCTCCTCTTGTTTGGTACTTTTGTGCATTTGTGATGCTAAAGAGATGGAAAATCAACAACTAGCATATTCAACTCAAGAGCTATGACTTGCTGACTTATCAAACAAAATATTACAATTGTCACAACCTTCAAGATGATGTAATTGAGATAAAGATCCTCAAGAACAACACATTCTTCATCAAATAGATGGCAAGATATAATATATTTGGTATCATGATCTCAGAAGAGACTTCCAATATTTGGTGATTTAACTAGAAGTTAGAACAACTCATAATAGTCTTCCAAATGTTTTATTTGAAGGAAGTTACAAAGGCCTCAACAACAATCAAATAATAAGGTGGTCTTTTCACTCTAGTATGGGACACTATTAATGGTTGAGAGGACCTATCAACCATCTTTGAAGAGAATAAAGATCAGAGTATGTAATAAACATAAATTGCTGCATTTTAGATTTTCTCAACATATGATGATTATTCTTGTGAAATTCGTTACTAGAAGAGAAGAGTGGGTAATGTCACGGACATACATATATATTCTAATATTTATCTATATGACTAAATAGAAGTAAATAAAAGTAGATTTATTTTATAATATTTTTTAGAAAAGCTTCTTAGAAGCCTTGTAGATGTTGCTTTGATTTTACATGTGTTTGTAGTTAATTAGTCAATTAAAACTTTGGTCAAAAAATTAACCACATATTGATAGCTTGTAGAATAAGCTAATTATGTGGTATAAATATAAAAAACTTGTCTTATAAGTTAAAATATGTTTTTTACAAAGACATCACTTTTTAAAGGTCTTATAGGACACCACCATATAGCTCTTAGTTAAGAGTATATATGGAGGCAAGAGTAAAGCCTTCTTTACTCTTGTCAATGCCTTTCTAGTCTTTAATCTTATGTTAAGACTTTTTAGTCTTTTTGTCTTTAGCAATTGTCATTATAGTTTAACATTATACTATCTTTGAGTGATTTTTTAGTCTTTTCAAATGATACAAGAATGTATTGATATTTTTATTCTTTGAGGTTCATGTCCTTGATATAAGCTTGATTGAACTTTTCAATGGCAAGTATACTTGTGGAATAATTATATCTTCAAAAAATGATTATTTTAGCAATTAGATAAAAAATAATACATGTATAAAGATTAATATCTTATTAATTAGAAGAAAAGGCTTGTTTGATATCTAATGCCTATGCCAAAAAGATATTTTTTTCTTACAATAGGATTTTTTTGAGTATTAAACATTTTGGACTTAAGATCTACATTATGATGTAAAAAAAAATTCTTATAATCATAGTTCTTTAGAAAAAGACTTCATTGCAGCTTCATGGCATAGAAATCATGATAAAGAAACAATTTTTGGATTGTATGCAACTACATACATAACTTTAATGTTAGACTTTACAACTGTAATACATGATTAATGCTTAGATGAATAATTTGATAGAATCCAAATAATTAGCAATATGTTAGATGACCTTATCATCTTGCACAAGCTTCAACAAGAAAAATTTTCTTTGACTATCTTTGTTATGAAAAGAAATAAGACTAATCACTAAATAACAAGGTTTTGTTTGAATTTTATTTTTTTATTCTTTTGTTTATGGTTTAATAAAATTAAGCAAATAGTTTCAAGGCTAGATTAAAAAAATTCTTTGGTGCAACAAGTATATGAGGAGCTTAGACATTTTTGAGTGTACAAGATTAATTTTATATTATAAAACTAATATTTGTAGACTATCATATATCAAGAAGTTGAGTCATATGTTTTTGAATGTAAAGTGTGCAATTGAATTAAATCAAATTTTAATACTTTATCATATTAATTGAGGTCTTTACTTTTTATGGATTTGGATTACCATTAATCTTTGGAATTTTTTGGGCTACTTATTGTAACCTCATATAGAACTAAATATGTATTGATGGTAGAATATTTTAATAAGTATATTAAATTTATAGCTTTGCTACAAAAAAATTCAAATTTATAACTATGACTTTTTTGATTATGTGTTGGCACGTTTTAGAGTACCTAATAAAGTTTGAATACATCAAAAGAAAGAAGTCTTTGGAGCTTTTGATGTTTTGTATATTTAAGCTTTGATAGATCATTGCAAAATTTTTAAAAATCATTTGGAGGTAGATGGCTTAAGTGACCTTGTTTTTTAGACTATTAAGTGTGGTTTATAAAAGTATGGATTACTTCATAGCAACCATTGTGATTGAGACTTGATTTTGCTATAGATTGTGATAGATTATTACTTTAATAAGTATATATATATATATATATATCATAAAAATATATAATTAATATGTTTTAAAGTTAAAATTTAAAATATGTTCTTTTAAATATATATATATATATATATATATATATATATATTTATTTATTTATATTTCTTGCCAAGCTTGAACTTTTAAATTTTCCAAGCTTAAACTTTTAAATTTGCTACATATACATTTTTTTGTGCTGCCTTCAAATACTATACAAATTATCCAAGATTTTGCTATTAATCTTTCAAAGTTTTCTTCCTTATAAATTTGTTAATCAACTTGAAAGGTGACGTCTTCATATCCTAAAAATCCTTTGAGCTTTGCAAATAGCATCTCTAAAGCTTCAATAAATTGTCCAAGAATCACAATCATCTATGGCATCAAAACAAATTATTAGGCTTGAATTTATTCATTTATATATAAAAGTAGTTCAATGATGCCCTGCAATAAGATAAAGACAAGAAATTAAAGATTGCATAGAAATCCACTACAACCATAGAAACAACATTGCTTTTCACAACTTCAATTAGGAACTTCCAAGCTCCATGCCTAGTGATCTTGCAATACTACTCTTAAAAATTTGTAGTAACAACATATAGATGTTGATTTCTAATTCATCAAAAGTTGAATTGTGGCTTTACTTTTGCTTCACTTTTAATAAAAATAATAAAATATGTAATTAATGAAGGATGTTTTTTTGTCTCTTCCGGTTAATTCTCTTAGTTCATCTTTGTTAGCTATTTCATATTAAAGATACATGGTATAACTTTATTAGCTATTTCAAATTAACCATCTTAGAAATAAAAATACAAAAAAATATCATTAAAATGTTTCATATATATACTATAGAATATTTTAAATAATTTTTTTGAATTTCTTGTAATGTAATTTTTATATCAATTTGAATTGTATCCAAAACATATAAAGAGAGAAAAAATAAAAATAATCTAACTACCATCAAAATAAGAATTTTTATGATGTAAAATATAAAAATAATTTAAAAAAAGTAAAAAATCTAAACATAATCCTTAAGAAACAACACAATTAAATAACATAAAAATGCAACAACAAATATTCATGTGAAATTTTGAATTGCAATAGTAACAATATGGAATTATAAATTGGTAGAATCTCATATATTTGTTTAGGTTGTTTTCATTACACTTTCCTTGGCACAATGATTGGGGCTCATTACTCCAAAGAGTATCATTAACTCATTCCATGTCATTGTTGTCAATATTCTACCCTATTATTCTCTAAATGTGATGTCACATGAGGAGATATTTCTTGTGAGAGCGACCCTCACACCGGATCGAATGACTTTCATCCACATAGAATGGAAACCGTTTGGATGTACAGAGACATCGCCACACCGGACATGGAGGTGCAGATGGGCTACAACGGCAAAGTGGAGGTCAATGCAATCTGGTCAAAGGGGGAAGCTAGTGATGTGGCTGTAGGGGGAGAGGCTGGAGCGGTGACAGGCCTGAGAAAGTGCATCGCTTATTGTCGAGCATGGCACGTCACGCTGGAGCACTGCCGCGGCTATGGAGCAAAATAGCAGCAGCAGGAAGAGGAGCATAATTGTGAGCTATGCCGGCCGAGACCGGGCTGTATCAAAGAGAGCCAAATTTTTCCGGGCATTCGCTGGGCTGGATGGCTGTTGTGAAGGGATGGCCTAATCAGTGATTGGATTCTCTGAGAGTGGGTGGGAACATGTGTCGATGCTGGAGCCGGGCGGTGGTGCTCTGTTTCTCGTACTTTCTTTTTCCAGCAGGCTTGCGATCCGATGAAGAATATGCGTCCTTGTCTGATTCACGATGACGCAGAGTTTTCATGTGGAGGTTGCATAGTTTTTGTCGTCTTGAGAGGTTTCACGGCGTTGCCCGTGGGGCATATTCGAGATGTCGCTGTGTGCATCGGATTGTGAGCGATTTGAGTCGAAGCGAGGGGATTCGGTGGAGATGAGCAGATTTTGTAGGGAGTTGAGAGGTGTTGTTGTGGTGCGCGCGGAGGTTGAGTGTAGACTTCGCTGGAATGCCGGGCTGCGCAGGGTTGCATAGTGATGGGAGAACACGTCGCGCCGTGTGCTTGGCAGGGATAGTGATAGGGCATGGTGCGAGGTAGTGACCAGTCACAAATCTTGCCCGAGGAGGAACACGATGGAGCGTAGCGCGTCCTTGAGATGTGGTTGTTAGGTCTGTAACCCTAGTGTGAAGAATTGTAGCGTAGGAAAGAGCCCGAGTTGCTCTATTATTTTCCGTTGTAGATAAGCAGCGGCATAGAGATCCAGGCTGGGTGCGGAGATGGCTTAAAGCTGGCCAGAATGCCGCCCGCGTGCTCCGTACCTGCGCTTCTGGTGGAAAACGGTAGCACCGGTGAGGACGGAGTGCTCCATGCAGACGTATTGCGGATGCATTCCAACGGCAGCCATCCCAAAAGTGTGGGTAAAGGTTCTTCGAAAGACTCCTCTTCCCTTACCTTCGGCACTACTACAGACAATGACGAGGAGAGGGTCACGGCCTCCGAGCGAGAGATCCCCAAGGTGATCACTGTTCTAGCCTCAGTGCTAGACCGTCTTGTTGCAAGAAACGAGCAGTTCGCCAACACCCCGTCCCAACCAGGCGTCTTTAATTCGAAGAAGCTCACTATTTTTCACGGCCTGCGGGCGCCCAGCATTAGCATTGCGAAGTACTTGGAGCGCATCTTTAAGTATACAAATTGTAGCGCATCGTGCTTCGTTGTTGGATATGTCTTCATTGATCGTCTCATCCATCGTCAGCCAGATTTGCTTGTCACGTCTCTCAACGTACATCGTCTGCTGGTTACAAGTGTTATGGTGGCCACCAAAATTCTGGATGACGTGTAAGGAACACCTTTCGCGGCTTACATTTTTGCAATCATGCATTTTCTGGATTTTGTTTTTTGAAGGCTGAACTGCACATTAATCTTTGCTGTCATAAGCTTGAGGTGATGATATGAAGCATGCTCGTTAATGACTAGGAGTAGACATGATTCTTGATGCGACCATTGCCAACTTAACTAGAATAGGGTGGCATTCACTGCATGAGTCGAGTGCTTCCGAGAACTTCAGCAATTCTCATTGGGTTCTTTTCGACGCTGATCCTGCAACTGCGATGTCATGGATTGCTTCTGGATCGAATGTTTTGCAGGCACTTCAACAATGCTTTTTTTGCTCGAGTGGGAGGTGTGAGTGTGGGTGAGCTGAACAGATTGGAACTCGAGTTTCTGTTTCGCCTAGACTTCAGGCTCACTGTGACAGTCAGTATATTTGAGAGCTATTGTTCTTACCTTGAAAAGGAAGTGATGGCTACAGAGAAGAAGATAGAGCGGGTAGAACGAAGGCTGCCCGCGTTCGATAGTGCCTCCACAAGTCCAGGTGGAAAGTCACCTGTGCATTGGAAAAGATCATCACCTGGACGCCAGAGAGAGTCATTGGATTCAAACCAACTTCAGACAGAGTATCACCAGACTTTTGCCAGAATAATGGCTAGAGATTCGCCTCCAAGTTGTTGATATTCTCTCCTTTCTCTGTTATTAGAATATTTAGGTTAACAGAGAAAGAGATTCACGAGGAAGGATCATGTGACATCGAAGAGATAGTGTTCTTCAATTGCTATTTTCTGGGAATTGCATCTATGCATTCAGGTCGATCTTTTCTTTTTCAAGGATATATCAGTCGAAAAGAGCGCACCGGATGTTTTCTACGCTGTCATCGATTATGAGCACGCCTGGTACAGGCAATGCAATGTAGTGAGGCATCTGCAAAGTGGTGCCAGGGATGACCGACGAGTTTAAATTTTAAAATCTCATCGCCATCCTGTCTTTCAAGTCCTAATTTGGGATGAAGTTGTTTATCCGGTTAGGGAACATGTGTTGCACTATCATCTAGTTTGGGTACAAGGTAAGGAATTCAGCAGTTAGGGATTTATACTTGCATCAAATGCCTAGAGAGGGAACTTTGGCGTGTGTCCGTTCCTTCTTGGTTGTCAATATCAGAAGACACGTCCTTCTCATTCAGTTCAGTCTGTGTATGAAACGTCAAATTTATATACAGAAGAAACCGGATTAGAGTGTCAAGTGACTAGTTATGTAGTAGAGCTCAATTTTGAATGTAGCCGGAATGAATTTGGTGCGGGAATTTGTCGCCAATGACTGGCTTTGATTTTGCATAATGTGTACCACACATTGGGAGCATTCGACTATTTTGTACTTTTAATGCTCTTGTATCTACATAATTGATGTACTTGTTTAAGGAGTTGAGATTTCTGAGTGTTCCTGAATTTCATCCAATCTGCCACCAAGTCGAGTCAAGAATTTCATGTGCAGACTTGTTGATGTGACGATGAAAGCCATTCACCCTTAGATTTGCTTACTACCCATGCCAGGTGGTTTGCTTATTTGCTTTGATTCTTTGTTTCGGCTTTTGGTCGAATGTTGGGGGCTTTGGTCGATTCCTCTTGTGCGTAAAGTACTCGTTTCATGTGTTCGGGAGTGTAGACACACTTTTTATTCATTTTTATTTTTAAAATTTTTTGTTTTTGTTGTTTTCACACATGTGATACAGATCTATGATAAAATAGACGCTGTCTCCTCTGACGCGTTTGAGTAGCCAATCAATTCTCGAACTCAGTGAATGCCAGCAACGAATTATAGCATTCAATTGACACGGTTTCACCTGATTTTACTGTCGCTTTCGACAAATTTTGGAGGGCTCAAATTCCTTCCTAGTCTTCGTGATTGCCAGTGTGGCAGGATGAACTGTATCTGGAGTCGTATGGGGTAGACCCTTGTACAGCAGTTAAAGTATGAATCGTGTGATGACCCTGGATTTCCAAATAAAGATTAGCTGGAAGTTCGGCCTCAGAGGCTTTCTCGTTTGTTTTGCAGCTGGAACCAGAATTCAGGCCATTAATAGGAACCACCGAAGCATCCGATTAGGTCTCTTCAAAAGATGCACAGCATTGAACAGGAGAGTTAACAGTACGTGAACTTAAATACTCAAATCAAGTAGATGCAATGGGATTCTTTCATCCGAGATATGTCTTTCCAATTATATCCGCTACAGTTGATAACAGCACTGCGTTCTGGTGTCATCCACTGTGCTCGTCGTTTATGTTTAGCTATTACTTTTGGCACACTCTCGAATTAGAGTAGAAGCCCTATCGGTGGATCTAAAAAATCCATGTGCTCCAACATTTAAGCGGATCATGAATAATGACTTGTGCTATCTGTGACCCGACTTGACGATCCCAAGTTGGGCATCGTTTAATGTCATCTTCTTCCTCGGCACCCACCTGAGCCTTTCACCTATCTGCTGTCGCCGTCAGTCGCCGCTTAATCGGAGATAACTTTTCAAGAAGAAACTGAGTGTCGAAAAAAATAGTCGATTGAGCAATGCACTATCTCCTCGGTAGACCACAGAGAAGCTTCGCAGAACACCGAATTTGAGATGCTCAACTGTTAAAGTTGGGGGTCAGAAATTAGGGCATTTAACCTTTCTCGCCTACAAATATTTCAAGCTGAAGCCGATGTAGAACATGTCCAACTGGCTCACGTCATAATGGTTTCGGCGTGATAGTTCTCTGCAGTATTGTAAAAGAATTCAGACCATAAATACAGAATGTAGTTGAAGCTACATGCGAGGGAGGATAGGCCAAACGCCAGCAGGAGAACATTTGGGAAAACGAGTCTTAACAACTTAAGTGCAAAGTTCTAGCTCGGGGAGCTGGAGCTACGGTTAGGTTAGGGTAGGGCAGCTTGCTTCACCTCGATCGTCTGCCACTTCTCATCTCATCTCTGATTTTTAGTCTCATGCTTACTTGGACAAATCATTTTTTTCGTTGTGAAATGCAGACACATTTCTGAATCATGAAAGCTTTGACTGCGAATTCCACGGAATGATATGGTTAGATTGTCTTCTTGCTGCCAGAGACATGTTTGATGTAGCTTAATTGCCTGATTCATTCGCTACTTCAATTAGCTTCGCGTACAGTCCTATTATTCCTCGTCTTCCAGCTAGTTCCAGTTGCGTTGTATTGTTGCCTGTCTGTCAGGAAGAGAGTCAGAAACTATTGAAAACATTGAGCTGGAATTACAGGCTGCCACTGTTTCATCGAATTAACTTTCGACTTCAGTAACAACGCGAATGCTTACCCGGCGGTGCAGATTTCATCTTGTGCATCTGTGCGTTTGTCATGTATGGATTTCGCCCCAGCAGTCTGCACCTCTTAGTGTTGTTGGATCTAACCATTCCAACAATCCGTACCAGTCTCAAGTTCCAGGGCATAATGTCTTGTATGTATATATATATATATATATATATATATTTCTTCTTTCGGAAACTTTTGCGCGTTTCCTTACTTTTCAAGATACAAAATCAGTGGCTCTGCCAGCTTTATCAAAAGACTGGGCGTCCTCTCCATTGTTCTCACTTTCGCTTTCCCCCTGAGAAGCTTCCGATTGCTGGGAGTTTAGATGCCTTTCCCGATTCTCATCTAAGTTCTAAGTGCGGACGTCCAGGTCAAGAATATTGTGTGTTGGCGTTCGAAATATTTCCACAATTGTAGGATTTTTCACATGTGCTTCAAAGGAAAAGATGGGTGTGGCTGTCCAGTTTTCGCAGGAAAGGTGCGTGGCTTCTTTGTCTTAGAGCGCAGGGCTGCGACGAAGCGGTTGAATGTGGGCCCAGCAGACTCAATGATTCAGTGGTTGAGATCTTCGCAACCTTTTGTGCTTTCTTAGAATTCCATTGGTTTATTTGCCTTCCACATCTTTATAGTTATTATGCTACTTACTGACGTAGTCACCCCCTAGTGTTTCATTTCTGACAGCCGTAGTCCTCTACCACAAATCTCAGGGCCGGCTTCTTTTCGTCTCCCATCAACAACTGGATGATATGCAGCAACCATTTTTTCCGTGGGTTGTCAGCTCACAAACCTTATGAGTACAAGTCGTGTGTCTTCGTCGCTCTCAGCAAGCACTTGTCTCACTCTGGAAGCACTGCTCTCTCCTGCACATCCTGCCCCATGTTTCGCAATAGAACTATTGTAACTTATACACCTCGCAATTCGAAGCTCAATTCATCTGCCTGTCGAGGATGGATAAGCCTTTTTCAGGAGCGTTGAGTCCCTCTTATCTGGCTGGAGTGCTGTTTACGCACAAGTGTCTACGACAAGGTCTTTTGAACTGCTTGCAAGATGAAGGGTATCTACGACGACGATGTTGATCATTCTTTGGGGGGAATAATTATGCAGCTTGTCGAAATTCGATCGTAGTGGGAATAGTGAGGAAATTTGCAGGTGAAAATGGTAGAATTCATGAATCCTGTTGAGTGATGGTTATGGAGGTCGAGGGGAACGAAATGCGTGAAAGTGTTGCGGTCCCGAGCGGATTAGGCATCTGGGTAGGGTTGGACAAACAGCTTTTGACTTAGTTTGGAAGTGAGAAAGGGAGCGGAAGATAGGTTGTGACACAGGCATTCAAGACGGGAAGGATGCCCCCCGCTTGCAGAACACCGGGTTTCCTAGGGAACAATGGGAGGGAAAACGAGGACGATGTGCCCTACGTAGACGCGCTGCGGATGCAGTTGACTATCAGTACTGCCAGAAGCACTGGCAAGGTATCGTCCTCTCAAGGCTCGTCATCGCTCTCTATCGAAGCCTCTGATGCAGATGAAGGCCCCAATACAACTTCTGAGAGAGAGATTCCTAAGGTCTTGCATGTTCTCGCGGCTGTGCTTGATCGCCTCGTTTCCAGGAATGAACAATTTGCCAACGCACCGTCCCAGCAAGGCAAGAAGCTGACAATTTTCCATGGTCTAAGGGCGCCCAGCATTAACATCGCTAAATATCTGGAGCGCATCTTTAAGTATACTAATTGCAGCCCATCTTGTTTTGTGGTCGGATACGTATACCTTGATCGCCTTATCCATCGACAACCAGATTTGCTTGTCACTTCTCTCAACGTGCACAGGCTGTTGGTGACAAGCGTTATGGTGGCCACTAAAATGCTCGATGACGTGTAAGTCTCAGCTAACCAAAGTCGGACTGCTCTTACTCAATTCTGATGTGGGGAATCGTATTGTTTTGCAAACATGTCCTCACTCGTCAGTCTTCCTTATTTCCTTCCCGCTTATTTGAAGTTTGTTGGCCTTTAGTTAATTCTGAAGATGTCGTTTGAGAAGCTAGATACTTTTTCGGCGTATCAGTTTATTTGAAGCTGTGTTTTTATCAGCTGTATTGATATGTCGTCTGTCATCTGGAGGAAGTTGTGCAGTGATTGTGAATTCGTCATGTTTTCTTTTGATTGTCATGGTCGTTATTGTTCATAGATAGAAATTTAGACTTAAACGTGGACTGGAAGCATCATCCATCGATCAAATCAAGAAAGTCAGTAATTTCGAGTAGCATGAAAATTCTCCTGCCTCGTGTGGTAACTTGGAAATCGACATCCTGTTTGTGTATAACAAATTTCAAGTGCAGTCGTTAAGATAATATTGTTTAGTGCTTGTCAAGGTTTCTGAAGTGACATGTCTCCGTGAGTGAAAATTGCGGTTGTTGTAGTTGTGATCGACAGCACGTTAGATCATAGTTATGGTTCCCGTGATTTGCTGAATTTTTGCCCAGCGTATGGTCTTTTGTTACACGTAATACTCCTTGTGTCAGTGTTGCCGATAGTTAAATCGTATAGATGAAATTTCTAGGCTTCTGACTGACATTTTATTAGAAGTTCAGCCGTAACTGATCTATTGTGAATCCCTTGTATGCAGGCACTTCAACAATGCCTTCTTTGCCAGGGTAGGAGGTGTCAGCGTTGTTGAGTTGAATCGCCTCGAGCTTGAGTTTTTGTTTCGCCTGGATTTCAAGTTATCCGTCACAATTAGTGTTTTCGAGAGCTATTGTTCATATCTGGAGAGGGACATAGCCGCTATCTCTGAGAAAAAACCGGAACGAAGCTTGCCAGCATTTGGCAGTGCACCTGTAAGTGCATATGGCACTGCCCCCGGAACCCCTCGGGGAAGTGCTCCACAGACCCCCACAGAGATGTCTCCCAGGTATAATAAACGAGTAACTTCTGGACTCCCAGCGTCGTATGTGGGCAGTAAGCAGAGTTCGTTGCGGTATCAGCAACCTCTGTCACAATATTTTGCCAGAGATTCACCACCTAGTCGTTGAAAGACTTCTTAACCAGTTCAATGCCTCCTGAGGCATTTAATGCCCAAGGATCCTCACAGCCCAGCTAGTGTTGTAGATATGGGGACTGCTTCCTTTACACACGGCGTGCTACTTTTAACTGTGCTGAGAGTCGATTTAGAGTGACAGTCATATGCAGCCACTGATTCCAGCAAGACTTTCTAGGGAGTTCTAAATATGGTGCCAAGAATGTGGTACCTGAACATATCAATGTGCAGTTCATGCTCAAGGTAATCAATGTCGGTATTCGTGGCAAAGGATCACCTCCTCAGTGCCGTGGAGGGCCCGACGTGGCGGGTACGCAATGCTGCGTATGGGAGCTCGCGTAACTTAAGATCGCTTTAACAGGGGGAGTAAATCTTCATAGGTAACGAAAACCGTTGGAGCTTCTAAGCAAGCATGAGAGTTTTATGTCAATATGCAATGTTCTGAAGCACTCCAATTCTTGGCGAAGCAAACGTGAGCTGCTTCAAACCATTCAGCCATGTCCTCAGAAAAAAAGCAATGAAAGAGACATCGTGCAAGTGTGTGCTCACATACGACGCTGCTCAGAAGCATTCATGACTGTTGGTAAAGGGCCTTGTTGCATTCGTAGCTACATCACTGGTTCAGCTCGTCCAGCAGGAATGGCTCCCGAGTAGTGGATGTGTGGGGTGCTAATTTACAGAATCCAGTTACTTGCGGGTTCAGGTTCTGAGGTGAAGACAAGAAAAGAGGGGGGGGGGGGGGGTCAACAACTGCAAGACGCTCCCGCTGCACAGCTGATTGCGAAGCACGGTAATTGCTTGAACACCAGGGTTGTGACGATTAGTGCTTCTCAAGAATCCTTCAGTGATTTGGGTTGCAAACTCGGAGATCCTTTGATCTCCAGAATTGGTACGCGCCCCACAACAGCTTTCGTAACTTAATCCTCTGGAGTCCAGGCAGCTGCAAGTAGTGAACCATTTTATATTTTAATGTACATTGCGAAATGCGAGACAGGTTTCTCGACATCGATAATTGGTCAATGATTGTAAACCAGTGGCATTGCGGCCTCGAATTGTGAGACCACTATTGAGAAACTATACTACAAGAGTTTCATGTATCAGCATGATGTTGTGAAAATTCTACTTGCCCTTTAAGTGTGAATCGTGACGAGATAGCTTGTTCTCTGATGAGAGACTTGGGTAGAAGCAATTAGGTTAGCTGATGTGTGAAGGGGCATGTGAGATGATTTTGGGATTGCAACGTGATGTCTCATTTAATACATCAAAGTTGATAATCTTTCTAAGTTGTAACGGAGGTCATTTTTCAAAAGAATAAATATTTTTCTCAGGGTTTACTGATTGAAAATAGCTGCAAGATTCATGTCTCCTATGCGTTTTTAACAGTTTGAAACTTTCTTTTCATTTCTTTTCTTTCAACAGTTAAGTATATGTCTTCATCAAAATAATGTGTGTACCAGTTATGTTATAGAGCTTGTAAACGAATTAGTGTTTGTAAGTATGGTTTTGTTGTCAGTAACTGTGTATTCGTAAGTGGGGGTTCGATTGACAAGTTTGTTTTTGGGTAGAGAAATATACTTTTGATTGTTGACAAAGAAACTGAAAACTAATGGTATAAAATAGTTTATATATATATATATATATATATATATATATATATATGTTTATTAGAGTTGCTTACAAATTAAATTCTTATTTTAGCTCACATAATATTTTACTTTGTCATTAAGATTTTATGTTTACAGGATATATACACATGTATGATATTTACTTTCAAAATTAATTATATTATTTTTTCAATTAAAAGTAAATTTCTAGATACTAAATCTGAAATTTAAAGAATTTAATTCTTCATCACATTAAACAATGAATCCAGGATTGTTGAATAAATTGTCAAAGTATCATCAAATTACATTATGTCTATATACTCTATTAGATTGATGCAATTTATGTTTACAAAGAAATTTAAACATGGGTTTTATATATATATATATATATATATTTTTATTTAGATGTTTAATCAATTGAAAAATAAAATAAAAAATTTCATTCTAACCATATATTTAAATAAAATTTTAGCATTTATTAATTAATAATCTTAATCAATCGTAACATTATTTAATTATTTATATTTATAATCTTTGACACTTCCATCTTGCATTAGAAAATATATTCACAAGTTTTAATTTTATAATTTCTTAATGTGGGACAATGTGCACTGACTTGCTAAAACAATTTTTATTGATATAATCTTGTTATGCCAAGATTTAAAAAAACTTGTAATGAAGTTCATAAAATCATCTTTACATAATCTAATTAGAATTAGAAAAATGTGTAAAAATCCAACTTACTTTTGTTAAAAAGCTTTGCTTTGTTACTATTTTGCACAAGTTATTGCAAAAATGTATATTTTTATTAGTACTTGAAATAATATTTTCTTTACAAAAGTCATCAGTATTGTTGTTGTTGTTGTTGTTGTTTGTTTGTTTGTTTGTTTGTTTGTTTGTTTTTTTTTTTTCCTTTTTTTTTTTTTTTTTTACTTCTAAATTATATTTATTATATTATATATAAAACGAAATTTCCAATTACCAACTCTTGCCACCATCATTTTTTACATACATACACATACATGTAATTGTGAGTCTTAATAACTACAAAATTTTTGTCTCACTCTTGAAATAGAACATTAAAAAACTTCAGAGAACATCATCATTGACAAATCAATTAGGTCAAATCTAATGAAAAATCAAAGATTCAAACCAATCCATTTTTTAAACTGAAAAGAAATTCGTTCGCATATTCCTCATCAAACTGCCTTATACATCATAAAATGACACTAATAATCCAGGCCACGAGTAAGCCATCGATACGCACAATCCTCGAATGTCTATGTATCCTATTAAATGTAACCCTAAATCCAGCTCAGCTGCCTTGGCTGCTGACGTGTCCAAGACCTTCTTCCCACGGTGTGAACAGAGCTACTTTGAAGGCGGCTAAGGAGACCGGCGAGGAGGAGGAGCTCAAGCAATCCCAACGTCCAGAGAGCCGATCTCTCATTTTTGTGAGGGATCGCAAGCCATTTCGCGGCATGGATTGTGTTGTGTTTGCGTGCCGTAGAATTTGTTAGGTTGCAGAGGCAGCAATGGCGCCATTGATTCGTGGCTGCGGGAAGAAGGACGCCATGAGGAGACTGGCGCTGCAGAATCGCGTGACGTATCATGCTGTGTTGAATCGGTGGATTTCGTGCGTGGCGGAGCATGTTGGATGTGGAAATCAGACGGAAAATGTCTGGGGAAATAATGGAGCGTTCGCTGAGGAGGTTAAGGTGGCGTTACCGAGAGTTGGAACTACGTTGCAAAAGGGATTGAGGTTGGAGGGGGGGATAAGAGGCGGACGTGATCGAGGCGCGAGGGCGACGGCATTTTCGACCTCTGCGAAACCGCCGTCGTCGGTGGAGGATGATGTTAGTGAGAAGCACGAGGGGCAGAGTGTTGTCCCGTCGCGGCGAGTGTCGTGGACCCTGGGCCCCGGGCAGCAGCCGGTGCCCGTGGCAGCGTCTGATGGAGGAGAAGGTTACGAGGATATGTCTTCGAGCTTGTGGCCTGGCATGTATCACTCGCCTGTGACAGCCGCATTGTGGCAAGCTAGGGCGAGCATCAGGGAACGGGATGGGAAGCGTGGTGCAGGTTCTTCCCCCACGGAGCTGATACGGCGAACGCCATCTACGAGCCGGACGACTGTGTTGTATGGGTTAGCGAGTGATGCAATTTTGAGGGAGCAATACCGGAATCCTTGGAACGGGTGCCGCATTGGAAAGCTGCTCGAGGATTTGGATGCATTGGCGGGTACCATCGCTATGAAGGTATCGTACTGATATCGTATTTTGTTAAAGCGTTTGTCTGAATGTATTAGTCCTTACGGTTTTCGGTTTCAGATGTCGGTGGATTGTTCTATGGATTGCGACAGCCATCTGGTCTGTCGGGATCTCATACGCCATTGGAGCTTATGCAACTGTATTTGGCTATGTGCTGAGCAACCCAATCTGTGACTTAAGGTCTACTAATTTTTATGTGCGTGGAGATCCTATTATCTTATTCAATCATTTGGAAAGTGTCTTGAATGAATGAATGAATATATATATATATATATACTTAATGCCTTTTCGTTTTTTATTTGAAATACAAGAGGATTTTGAAAATTTGCGCATTCTAGTGGAAATTGCTAAAATAAAAATGCTTGTGAGCAGTCCTGAAATTTTACTCGAAAATAAGAGCAACTATACTGGCAGCATTGTTCAGATGACAATCACATGACTCAGCCGCTGCTTTTAGTAACTGCCTCCGTCGACAAAATCAGCACGAAGAAACCCCTCAGCGTAGAGATGGATCTTATGATGAGAGGTGTAGTTGCATGGGTTGGTCGATCTTCCATGGAGATTCGGATGGAGGTTATTCAACCAGTAGCAGGTATGTTTCATGGAGCAAGAACCTCATCGAACCTATTTTCATCCACCGATTGTGTAGCTTGGGAAGGTCAAATTGGCTTTACCGGTTCTGCAATATGGAATTGATTTTTGTATTGAACGAAATTTTTGACTGAAGCTAGATATTCAAAAATCATCTTTATTTCGACATCAAAAAAGAAAAAGAAAAAGTATAGATAAATAGATATATAGATTTTCCTAGCTCACGTGCTCATAATTGACAGAGAAGCCTGAGAAGGAGAATATTGCCTTGGTTGCGAACTTCACGTTTGTGGCACGGGATTCTGAAACTAAGAAGTCAGCTCCTGTGAACCAGCTGGTTCCAGAGACAGAAGCGGAAATGAGCTTGTTCGCAGAAGGGGAGTCTAGAAATGAGCATCGGAAACAGCGTCGGCAGCAAGGCAGTTTAGACGCGTCCAAAGAAGCAGTAAATCAGAAAAGGCTCAAAGATATACTAGCTGAGGTGGGCAGAAGGTGCCTTAATGTAGCTAGTCGTATCTGTGGCAAGATCGTGTGGAAGTTCATTATCACTAAATTTCTTTAAGAGTAACTGTCAGACAAAGCACGTGTGGTGATAATAGATTATGAGAGTTTAAATGTGGACTCAACGGAGTGCGTGATACTTAGGTATTAATGTCTTCAAGGGTTCGATCCGCATTTTTGACAGGGCCGCATATTGTGCGACATGCCAGCGCTTGCAGACCGTGACACTGTGCTAATTCGCCAGACAAAGCTTGAGAATGCATTAATTTGTCAACCTCAGCAACGAAATATGCATGGACGGATCTTTGGGGGCTTCCTCATGCGACGTGCCTACGAGCTAGCTTTTGCTACATGCTATGTGTTCGCTGGGGCACGTCCTATTTTTCGTGAGGTTGATCATGTAGACTTTCGAAAACCGGTGCGTGAAGACAATCATCACTCTGCATATCTGTGTTCACATTTTTAGCCATATTATTTATCCAACTTCGTACGTTACAGCACTTCCTGTGGTGTAAGATTTTGCTGAGTTTGGCATGATTGTGTAACCCCATCGCAACCCTCTGTAGTCATCGATTCACCTCAAGAGGAGGTCTGTTGTACAGGTGGATGTTGGAAACCTGCTTCGATTCAAGGCATGCGTTCTTTACACGGAAGTAGACAGAGTGGATCGGCCTCTCATACATGTTGAAGTTGTTGCCAATGTCACTCAACCTGAAGCAAGAACCAGTGAGGTATGTTGCACAAAAAATCTTCCGGTCATTATTTTGATTGTTTCGATAACTTCTTTGGGTGGATCAATTCATTAGTAGTCTGAGTACGAGGAATGATTAGTGTTTCAGCAGTATCAACTTCATCTGCAATTTACTAACCTTATCTCTTGCCACAAGTTTATTATGCGTAAACTGGTTTATCAAACTGTCGTCGTGTACTCCTTATCGCATGCATCACTCGCTGGAATACAGCTCTCAGAAGCGAAAGTTCACCAGTGAACGACTGAAAATCCGTTCACTGTGACAGGTCTCCAACACTTTTTACTTCACCTTTTCAGTCGACTCTGAGATTTCAAAAACTGGAATCATGCCAGTGCGGCGTGTACTTCCAGAGACTGAAGAGGAGGCACGAGGTTATCTTGCACGATATGATGCCGATCACGTGGTCACACATACTGCGCCCTCTCCCTGACTTGTTATGTATTTAAATCAAGAAGCTTTGAGAGTTCTGCTTTGTGAAATTGAAAGTAAAGGCCCGTCCAGCTCAGAGGTTTCTTATGCCTGAATATCATCTCTTGCAGCGAAGGCCTTCCCTCCATGTGTATCTTATGTCAACCTCACTCTCCGCATTAATCACGATAGACAGCGGGAGGGATTTCAGGTGCATATTGACAATTGTGCGCATGCACAATTGTAGCGTACAAAATTAAAGATTTCTGGCATATTTAGAACCACACAGATAGGAAGACATATCTTTCATCCATGTATACTGTTGGGCCCAAGTACTGGTGCAGGCTTCCATCTCTAAAGACATGGAACAAGACCATTAGAGTGAGATGATCTTGTGCGTTTTGAGGGTTTATAAAATGCAATTTTGCATTTGAAAGGTGGATTGTCTGTTAGTTGCAAAAAAAAAAAGAAAAAAAAAGAAAAGAAGTTGATAGATGGTAACAATGAAGGAATGGAGAGTAGTAGGGCCAATAATCATTTGAGAATTTTAAAATCCTTGAAGAGTTTAGATTCTGAAATGGATCTTGTAGGTTCTTTAGATGGATTATTTACCATTGATCTTAAGACAAAGTTGACATAAGGGGTGGCAATGTGTTTGGGAGGAACTTACTTTTAACTTACTCATTTATGACAAAATCATTGGAAACGACTTGACAAAAGAGTTTTTATGATAGTCAGTGAACTTAATTGTACATCGAGCATTTAATGTACAGTAAGGCCTTATAAGTATCAAAGCCAAATTTATTGATCTATAACACACATCATATTTTATGAAACATAATACAACTTATTTGCCAAGAACATTAATTCTGGGGCTATGTCATTTCACAAACAATGAGTGCTTTCATACAATGCTAATTAATTTGCTAAAACAATTGTTATTATGATAATAACAACAATAAGAGGACTATTGTTTTTTGGAGCATGGTAGCTTAAGTTTAATCCAAATATAATCTTTATCCAAATCTAATTTTTGTATGTAAAACAAAGATCATCTACAACTAAAGTTCATTCACAATTTCATCTACCAAGGTTATTTGACTACAAATTTCATATTTGTTTGTAATCAAAGATGTACAATGGAAAGAAGTTGAAGTGTCTTTCTTTTAGAAAAAACTCAAGATTTAGTGTCAAGATCCCAAGTCTTGCTTAGCACCTTTTTAACTTAAGATCAAAGGTATTAAACAAAGCTTATTAAGAGATAGCCCAAAATTAAAATAACGCACAATGTCATTTGTCACATATCAATAGTAGAATTGATACCAAGTTTCCATATATTTTAATTGAGGTGAAATGTGTATTATGTAGATAATCCTACAATAATTTTGTATAATATTTATTCTACAAGGTGGCATATGGATTGTTTAAGTCCACTATTATAAGATTTTTTTTTATAGTAATTGGTCATGTCAAACTTTTCAAGAATAATGAACATTCAAAATATATGTGATGGTTTTTATTTGGATTATTTTTTGTGCCTCATGAAGTGGATATTAGAGATTTGTCAATATAAAAGAAACTTGAATATAAAGAAAGGAAGTAAATAAAGATGGTATTATTATATTTTATCTTTAGTTGAGATTTAAGTATTTAAATTCTTCCAATGCATCTTCCTTATTATGATGACAATGTGTTTTATGTATTTAGTCATTACATGTTGATATTGCAATTGTACATTATATTCTAACTATATAGTATGAATGTGTGTAGCTAAGACATGCTAATCAAGTCAGATAGTGTATGAAGTGGTTGTGGCTTATTATTAGAAGCAACTTGATGTAATAGTAGTATGGTTATTACTACAATTTACTTAGTGTAGAATATATGTGACTATTGCTAATTTTTATCAACCATGCAAATAGTATGGCAATGCACATGGCACAGGAAAATATATATATATATATATATATATATATATATTTTTATTAGTTATGAGATCATCAATTATCATCTGACTATGCAATGTGGCATTTGAATAATGTATTTGTGCATAACATGCCTAATATTTTAGAAGTAGACTAAAAATTGGATATTGTTTGGTATTTTTAGTTGGAATTTGCAATAGATATTTGATTATTGTTGATTTGCAATATATTGTTGATTATTCTTATATACATTAATATTATTTCTTTGATTCATATTCTTAGATATTTTATTAATTAGTTTATATTATACTTATTTTTATTAGTAATGATCTTTTATCTTGGTATTAACTTTTTCAACTTTCTTGTAGTAGGTACTAACTCACTATAGAAGAAAGAGTCTTTTAGTTTATAAAACTCTTTCCAAAATCTTTTTCTATAATATATAATGTCTTTCTAACTTCTCTTTGCAACAAGATTTAGGCTTAGTAGTAGAGATGGAGGGTAGATAGGGACACTTTCTTAGCAACAAAAGATCCATTACATACTATATCTAATAAATTATCTAGTGACTTCCTTGTAATAATAGTGTAACAAGATGCAAAAATATGGAATTTAATTTATTTTTTCTATTTGATATTAATTATAATTTCTTTCACAATGATATTGTAATAAGTAACAAATCAATTGTATTATAACTCACAAAATTAGTAGGTCTGCTGAAACTCGTTTGATTATTATGAAACCAAATAATCTAATTTGTAATAAGTATTTGATTATATAAAAGATTTTTTTTAAAATCAATATGTTGTATTGAAAGAATCTACTATAATTTTTATTCTCCCAAACCAATTTTTATGCAAGTATATACACTTATGTATTGTGTCTAATAGACATTGCCTTTTAAACATTGAAGAAGAAATAGGTTATAATGCACATGTATAATAGGTTTTAAAACAATTATTGAGCAAAACTTGTTACAAGGTAAATGTGCTCTGGCACAATATATATTTGAAAACAATTCCTTCACTACAATTTAGTACAGTAAAACGTAAAAAAGTTAAACCAAGAAGCTATCTAGTCTCAAAGTTTTTACACTATTGAACAAAAGGCACCAAGTGTATTAGGGGTTAACTAGTAGCTTCGTTATTTCGTTACTGCAACTCACCGACAGGAGCCTCATTTAACCACAAGAAGTGGATAAAATCATACAGCTTCACACTCACGCTCACCTGCAAAGCATCGAACACAACCAGCACTCAGAAAACTTCTCAAATTAACTTTTTGAAGCATAAATATAAACAAGGCTCATAATTCTACACTTGGATCTTACAATTGAGCAACATACTCAGGCTAACTGAATGCCACAGAACCTGAACATGCGATGTTACAATCACGAAGATGGAGCACATTTTAAAGTAACTCTTTCCCAAATCCTAGTAATCAGCTTTGCCCACATTCATGCCAATACAGGGTCTTGGAATATTTAAGAAAAGCAACTTGCTTTCACATAACGTGAAAAAAATACAAAAGGACAACATAAAGCAGGAAATAACCTTATAAGGGGTAGGATTAAGTGATCGCATGTGGTCTGTGCGCATTGCATCTAGTTGTTGCGAACAACGTTTTCTAAGCTCTACCAAGGAAGGTAAGCGCTCTCTTTTCCCTGAATAAAACAATGAACAAGTCCAGCACATTGTTAGTCTGAATGTAATAGTAGAGAAAGGTCTAACTATTATAATACCAGATTCAAAAACCAAACCTGTATAGTTGTCTGAGAATCTGACCACTGTCTACTGCACAATTGGAAGATGTTATCCATGTGCGCCATTACATTATTATAATGACATGAGTGGATGAAAATCTTAAGTAATGATCGCACAACAGATAGTTAATGACCCGTGAATGTCAAGAATCTCATGGAAATTGAAGACAAGATTCTGTAGCGTGGGAGAATCCAACTTACCACGTAAGCCATTCCAGTAGCACTTATAGAGAGGCTCAACACGAGTAGGCACAACGTATGCTCGCTTTGATTCACTGAAAGGATGGCGGCACAAAATCCGCTCACCAGGCTGCATAGGTTCAGTGCAGTAAGTTTTATCTTCCATAGCCATGGGTTTCAACTGATCAAAATCAGCACCATAAATGACCTAGCACAAATAATAACTACAAATCTTTGGTTAAAAGTAGAACATGGCACCTTGGGATTAGGTTCACTTTCTCCAATAAGGAGATCCACCAAAGCAACTCCTTCTTTTCCATACAACCTAAACGGTTGTTTCTTGCATGGAATCGTCACCTGCCACAACTCACGTTATTCAAGAGCTGGGTTCCCAACGCAAATCACCTGGGTTAAAATTATTCAAAAAAATGCAATAGTCTCAAGTCATGGTTTCACACCTTGGTTAAATCTTCCGAAAGTTTCATCCTTGGTTGTCCTCTGATTTCAACCAGCTTGTATACACAACCAAGTGCTGGTTGTGAGAAGCACGTAACTAAATGTGTGCCAATCCCGAACGCATCAATTTCATGAGTCTACTGGCCCATCATCAAAATAGTTAACATAATTTGTCATGGTTAGAACGAGTGAGGAATGCACCTACTGTTTGTGGTCATCAATGTTTCTAAAACTTTCAAAGACATTGATGGAAGTCCAAACAGACGACTCAAGCTCTAAAAAGAGACAAGCTCCAAGAGGATCCTACAACACAATGCATTTAGTACAGCATATTAATTGCACAATTGGCACCTCAAAAACAACTTAAAAGTTTGATGAGGACCTGTTTGTTCAAAGCATCTAAAGTTCCCTCGTTGATGTCACTACTAGCTACAATGACTAGTTTCCCAAATCCAGAGACATTGAACTCTTCCTCAATAATCCGAAAAATACGCCGTGTCTCAATAGAAAAATACGATAAATCACCAGAGTCCAGCCTGATCCCAAGAGCTTTGTATCTGCATGTACACAGAACTCATATCCAACGATTAAAAAACCTGAGTGTTGCAACTAAAACAGTGTTCTACAAGAATGTTATTGAAAGTAATTTAAGTTATTTATGAGCTTTATAAGCTCCATTCTATAAGAAAAGGAGTCAATCTGAGACCTGAAATATGACATCCCTACCCGAGGTCATGAAGTGCAAGAGCTACGGCACAAAAATTGGGAACACCGCTCCTTATTACCTGTGATAACACAGCAAACATCAAATTCCGGGAGTTATTTCCACTGGGGAGCAACCAAATTTATATTATTAGAATTTTTTTCACATACAAACTGACATTGTTCACATCACGAACAGAATGTAAGCAAAAAGTGGTTCAAATGCTACAGAACTTGGAACACAGGTTGTATCAAATAGTGAATTGTGCGTAAGGAACACCGTTAAGGTACATACATCGTACGTGTCGACAAGAGCTTGAAACGCTGTAGGGAACGCCAGGGCATACGAAGTGAAAGCTGCTAACTCGCTGTGATTGGTCTCAAGAAAAAATTCTCTTAGTCTAGACGATTCCTGGATCACACAACACGTGACAGCAAATTTACGGTGAAAACACGCAATAGCATATGCACTAAGTTTTCAAGCACAAAAGCGTACATTCAACTACAATTATTCCATGGTAGGAAAGAAAATCAATTGGAGGTAAGTAACTAAATGAGACTCAAGTAATCGAATTAACAGATGTTCTCTTGGCCCCTTTTAACAGCCTAAGTTTTCTATGATGGAAAATGTATAAGTTACCTGCATGCGGCTAAGCCACAATTGTGTCAAACGAACAAAGTCCTCACATTTGCTCCCGCCCTTAGCATATTCAAGGGACCTCTCTGTAATTTCATCAAAACTCTGCAGAGCAGCAATAAACGGTCATTGATCATGTAAGCTACGTAGTACAAGACCAGATTTCTGAAAAATGCGTTTGCTTAATCAATGAAGATGGAGGTAATAAATGTATAATCAAATACTCGTGCGTTACCGTGAAAGAGCTAACAAATGCATGCGAGTGTGTTCCTCGAACTGGAATCCCAAACCTTCGTCCTGCATCAACATTACTACAAGGACCTCACACCATCAGGCGTATCCTCTAATACTCTAGAACTGAATAGCTACAAGACCTTACTAATTATGGTCAATAGAAAAAAATCAAAAAAAAATCAAAAAAAAATCAAAATACAGTGTCACTACCTTAAAAATTCAAATATAACACATTTAAAATGCTCTGTTCAACAAACAAAGAAACACCAAAAATTTCAGCACAAAAATTGTGAGAAAAATACAGTAATAGATATCAACGTAAATTCAAGTACATGTTCGGCAGAAACTACGGACATTGTGCTTCCCCCGAGGCAACATCTTAGAGGTATCGGTGTATAGGAAACGAGCATCTAAAATATTCAAGCGTTTCAGCATAGAATATGATTGGCCTTTACCTAGTGGCATCGAATCCTCCGAGGTAACAATACTTTGATGCACTGATGCCCCCATCTGGACCCTGCACAGAAACGCTACCGTTACAACTAATTGATCTATGTGCAGATTTTAGACAAGCTATGCTCATGTTTGCCAACTGTAATTTCCAGAAGTGCACTTGTAGGGCTAAAATACACTTACCTGTGCTCGTCTCAACCCAAACTCTAGCAGCGTTTTGTCCTTTCCAGCAACACGACGATGCCTGGCGGCATTGGTGGCTACTAATGAGGCATAGTTGACCAGTGTCAAAAATGTGGTTTCTAGCAATTGTGCTATCTGCAACCACATGATCATACAGTATAAGCATCACACTGGCCCAACAGAATAAAAAAAATGGATTACAGGTGTTGTACCCCAATTATACTCCAATAAACAACACCATCCAAATATAAAATTCTAAGAACTCTGATGATAGCGAAATAACAGCAGCTGTAGATCCCTTCGTCACATGTCATGTAACAATCTATTCAAACCAGCCCACAACTCTCTCACGTAATATCAACGAACAAGATGCAAAACGACAGGATTCCAATTTACAAGGTAAAATTTGACATGAACAACAGAAACTAACCAGTAAGGGTCCTTCAACACGTATCAAGGGGACTCGCGGAAACACCACAGAGCCCTCTGGAATGGCATATATTTCGACTTCAGAGCAATCAACGCTTTTCAAGAACGTATAGAACTCGTCCTGCAAATTTCAAAAAAAAAGTATTTCATTGAAGCCGTAAAGATTTTAGATATATATATATATATATATATATAATGCATTACGTCATAAAGTTTGGGACAAGAATTGCCTTGGCTTCATTACATAGAAGATGACCTACAACACAATATATTGTTATTTTACCGATAATATACAAAATTAATTCGCCTATTTCAATTGAATATTATCCACATGTTTCTTAGGAATTGTAGTGAAATTGAGCATCGGAATTAGCCATGTCAGTATGTGCAGAATTATGACAAAAGTACTCCACTTTCACTGGACAACAGATCACCTTTATACCTATGCCAATCTTTCTTAACGACTTTTCACAAAACCATCATACTCTGGGACAGCATGAGTACAAGGGAGATACTAGTTGCCTATGCTAATAATATCTCTCAACCCTTCGATCTTAAATTTCTCCAGGTTTAGGCATTCTCTTAGACTCGGGATAGTGACCTGCCGAAGTAACAAAAAAATGTCTGGAATAGAGGGCACACCCAGTGACTTTCTATGAATGCAAGAAAGTTAGAGGTGGGTATTGAAGTCATTTAATTACGATAGTACTTGACGATACTAAAAATGAAAGTTCCCTTAGACGCTGTTCACGAACTGAAGGTCCGCTATTTAAGAAGTAAAAACCAGCAATCAGAAGCTTATACTGACCTCACATTTAGGAGGCATAATATCCTTGAGGTACTCGATGTCATCATCCGTAAACTTGAAATTAGCAGCAAACCGAATACATTCTTCAAGTCCAGCAAACACTGTATACTCTCCCCCGAATGGATTCTTCCGATGCAGCAAATCAAAACTGCGCGTTATAAGCACCAGGAGTTTGTTAAGTCAGCGATTTATAAACCACAGATTTATGTAATTTACGCACAAACCAATGTACAAACTTCTCGTTTTTCAGAATGGCCAATACTAGAAATTCAAATGATGCATCAACAACCGAGCTTATCTAAAGAGAATACGCATATCAATAGATACGACAAAGAGAAGACACATAACCGAGACGATTATCAAAAATAAAAAACTAAGATCAAAAATAAAAATGTGACAAATCAAGAATATGCAACTACTACGAATCCTGACAGCGAGAAGAATGTCTCCAACCGTGCTGCATGAGAAACGTTAAACCCGACAAGAGGCTGATAATCACAGAATCTTGTAACACCCTTACAGGATGCCCAAAAACTACTTGCATATTCACATGTCCATACGATGATTATTAGAATCCCTGGTTGGGCATGTGCAGGAGCAAACCACTTAAATTGCCTCCTCGTCAACCCCGATGTACCCGCTCTCCTCTACCGATGCAAATTCTCAACTGAGGAAGACATTCCACTAAGCTGAGACACACTGTCACAATCCTACTCGTCCAGAATTGAGGCTACACGAGCATTCCGAATTACAAGGCCACCAACAATTCGAGAATCTCGGCAAACAACTCTTCAAAGCACGGAAACGTACACTGCCCGATCTTTATGCTTTCCAGCTCTCCAGTACGCATACGCCATGGAAATTTGGTACATGTCTGTCAAGAGAGCGGACACCATAGGATTCGTAGGCGGACCCGGCACACTCTCAAATGCTTCATCTCCTTCATTTGATTTCGACTCCCCCTCCAAGTTTTCCAAGTCCATCTGCTTCAACTCCGTCTCCCGCATCTCCACCGATTTCGCCGCCATAATTTAACTTCACACTTCCCCTCTCTCTCTCTCTCCCTCTCTCTCGCTCTCACTCCCTTACTCAACCTCTCACGAACGACAAAATGATCAATGTACAACACTTACTCCAAATCCACACTCGTGCACGTCAACTTATAAACAATCACATAGAATAGTGCCAAATTGAATTGAACAACCCCCGCGACACGTTCCACCCTTAAGTCGCCATCAGGCAGCATCCCATGGAAAACTACGCCCATGAGCTTCACGCCGTGGCGACATGCTCGTAACAGAGACACTTAGTTACCAACTTGGTCGCCATGGTGGCCACGGATTCCAGGTTGGCTTCCGGTGGCAATGACGACCTGACGGAAAGTCTGCAGATCACCGTTGTTCACTCTGTCCCTAATCCCCGGTTACCCTTAATACCCTCATTCATGGCCCTCTAATCTGTAGCTATGCACTCGATACACTGAACCTCAACTCCGGATCTCGTTTCCCGATTTTTTCAACGGCGATACGAGGACTAGGAGTAAACTACCGTTGCTGTGGCCGCTGAGACAAAGCCCCCGCCTCGTTAGTGCGGATCGGTGCAGCAAAACTTGCCTTCGCAAAATCCGCAGGCCCTAAGAAAAATCGAGCCCTTCACGACTCTGTTCCCGATTTGGCTACCTCGGCGCAGCTGGCTTCGGTCCGAGACAATCTTTTACTTTTTAAAATCGGCATCAGTCGTCTTTTGTTCTTTGCGTTTTTTGCTTTTACTTTTGGATACTTTTCTTGCTTGGACGAGAAAGAGCCTAAAGAGTTTCTTCGGTTCATTAATTGTTTGGGTTCATGAACCGAAGTTTTGGATGACTTTCGTTGAATGGATGTCAATCCTTCTCTCATTGTTGTTCTATATCAGGTAATCCCAAAAAATTAATTATTTTAGCATTTTTCAAAATAATACATGGATTTCTTGTTTGCAAAAAAAATATTAAAATAATAGATTACATTTTATTTTATTTTTTAAAATTGAATTTTCGGAGTATTGACTTTTTAACACAATTGTAGTCAATATACTTTGGTATTTGAATACTTTTATTGTAAGTGTTGTAACCATTGCTAACACTATCACCAAGTTTTACTATTTTTCTTTATGAAAAATCTTACATGTGATATACATGTATAAATTTTGGATTGCAACAATATTTTAATTCTATAATATACTGTATAATTTATCAAAAGATTGTGATCTTCATTTTGACAATTATAATTATCAATATTCAAGATGGAATTGTACTTATAACTAAACTCTTGAAATGACATCATTACAGTTTATAATCTCAATTTATCTTTTACATATCATCATCTCACCAATATTATAATCTAACATAACAATTAAAATATTTATTAAAATCAAACTAATATTTCAATTTGCAAATATAAAAAAAATTGCTAGTAATGAGGCTCCAACATTAGCTATATTACTATTAGACTTCTCAAACATCTATTAGATAATAAACAAAAGTGAAGATAGAAAAAAAAAATTGCATTAATTATTACAAGATTTCATATGCTACTATTTTTTATTATTATTGTTGTTGTTGTTATTTGAACCATCTCTCTATATGTAAATAAGTCTTTAGTTCTCAAATATTTTAGTTAATTTCTAAGTTTATATGATCAATAAGTCTATTATAGCCTACTTGCAATTGATAATTAAAGTAAATAAAAATTCGAAATAACTAAAATTAAATAAGATAATATAACTTATAAAAAATCAAATAAATATTTTTAAAAGTTCATATTCTACAAATGCATCTTAACTAAGAATAATTCAATAAGATAATTTTAAAATGATATATATAACACTTGATATAGAATCCTTATAATTATAATTTTTAATAATAAAATATTATAATTATTCATATAAAAATCTAAATGTTTTTTATGCTTATTTATAAGGTGTTTCTAATGTCACTACAATTTTTGTTATTTCTACAACAATTTTCCATTCACAATATATCATTACAAATTTTGCTACTACCACTACAACTTGCTACTACTATTTTTGCTATTTCCACCACAATCTACCATGTACAACATCTCAATATAGTTTTTGCTATTGTCACCACAACTTGCCATCCACTAAACATGTTTCTTTAGTCTTAGTTTTTTATTCCAATCAAAATACTTATTAATATTTTCATGTGTTTTAAAAAACATATATATATATATATATATATATATATGATATTTTTATTTTAATAACACATCATTAGAAAATTAATAAGAATAAGTTATGGTGGCATTAGCAACACGTAATATATATATATATATATATATATATATATATATATATGTTCTCAAATTAATATATTCTATACAGTATATTATATAATTTCTTTTTTTAGATATAAAATGATATGTTTTACCTAAATACATATTAACTAAAGTAAATTTCTGAAATTAGTTTGTTTTAGACATCTCTTTTCATTCTAACATTAGCACATAAAAATAAAAAATATTTATGTTAAAGAATTTGATTTTTCTTGTTATACCTATTTTTTCTATGATTTTAATATAAAATAATTATACTATAATATATATTGCATAATGAACAATTTTTAGTAGAAAAAACTATATATATATATATATATATACTTGATTTTCTATTAATATATATATATATATATATTATTTTAAACATAATCGTTTAAAAATAATATATATATATATATATATATATATATATATAAGACCAAATTATATGTAGTCATACACATTATTAAACATTAATAATCTTAGTTGTGTAGCAACTTTCTTATCTACAAATTTGTAAGTTCAATATCCTCATTTGCTAAAAATTAAAGAATTAAATGAATTTAAGACAATTTATTGTGTGCAAAGAAGTACAAAAATGATTATTATCAAGATTCTTTTTAATTTAAGAATTTTCATGTTATTATAACAATATTTTTAATGAAACTTAAGAATCAAAATCAAGTGATAACATATGTTTACCTTTTTTATTTAATTAAATAAGTTATTAAAATATAAATTTTATGTATTTATTCAATAAATAATTATAATTATAAAAAATGGTCATAAATGAGAACTTAATGTTTTATTTTATAAATACATTTGTTTTCGACTTAGATAAAAATTTGAGATGTAAAGAACATAGATTGATTAGAGTTTTGAATTATATTTTAGAAAAATATAAATTATAATAATACCAAAAGTATCAGTGTAGATATGAGATTTTAGCAACCAGTCTTGCAGAAGTAAAATAAAAAATTCAGAGAATATTTATAGTCTTTGTAAAGAAAAATTTACAAACATATTTCTAATTAATACTTCCTTTAAGACAAAAACAAAATTATAGAACTCAATAAATCAAAATTCTATTTCTACAAGTGATTTGATTCTTTATGATTTAATTTTTTTTTTATCAATTAATAATCAAAAGTAACAAAGAACATTTTTTAGAAATCAGGTACTTCAAAAACAATATTTTTCTACACTATTGTAAACTTGGTAGAGATTATATATATACATATATATATTCATTTTTATATCAAAAATCTAAAATATGCTTAGCATATTTGTATTCAACAATATTTTCTTCTACAGTCATCTAATCACTTACTATTCTTAAATAATTTTTCCTTTCTATTCTTATAAAGATTAGTATTTTCATTTGAATTTTTTATGAGAATCTTAAATAATTATCTTTTAATGAATATAAATACACAATAATATAATGCAATTTTGTCAACTTATGACTTTTATTTTTGAATTTTTGAATTTTGTTCTTTTTTGAATTATTTCTATATACTAATTTAACATTTTATTTTTTTTTCTTAATTTTTTTATCATTGCTTATACAAGCACTCTACTATATAAAATCTCCTTCTTACATGCAATTTGTTTGCAATCTAAACAAATTATTAGAAGCTTTTTATAATGTTGTATACAATTATTCTTCATAATAGTTTCACTAAACTTTTCTAAGAATTACACTCAATCCCATACTTTCCTTATATGCACAGAATTAGTCAAAGTTATTTAAATAAAAGAATCAAGATAAATTCTGTTCTATTAGGAATATTATATATGTATATTTAAAGGTCAGTAAGACCTTTGTAAGATTAGAATTAATTAGTTACGACTTTAAATTACAAAAGATGTGATTACAACATTATTTTTTAATTGCATAATTGCAAACATCCAGCGCTATAGTGAACCAAAAATCCTTCACATTTTTTCATCTTCCACATGGTTCAAACTCCGATTCAAAAACATTTTGTCGCTAAATCACAGGGAAGGTTACAAGGTCATTCTAAACTCACGAATGCTTGGCGATTCTAGTGGCTATGGTGATAATTCAGCCCAGTATGCAGTGCCTTCAGACTAGGTTAGCTATTTGCACTCATTAAATCGCAAGTATTCATTGAAAGAATATCATCTCACATCGTATTCATAATTTCTTCAATTACAATGGAAGAGATGGAAAATATGAACATCTAATATTTATTGCATGGAAGTTACGTCGTCATACTAAGGTCACAAATGAGGGCCAAAACACCACTCCCTTGTGCGGTTGAAATAAACTTAAAATAATAGCACGTCATGTGCCCCATGCCCATATTACAGAAAACAACGGCAAACTAGCGATGGTTATGAGCCAGTTGGAAAAGGAAGCACCATTGGAATGGGCATTATTGGTAGTGACGAAAGCACCCGGAGGGCCAGCTTTGCTTGGGAAAACCGTCACAGGCATGCTTGTTGCAGTGCTGCTCACTGATATTTCTTTAGTGCCTGTGGTAGCTCCACAATCGAACAAGAATTAGAATTTCCCTCAAGAAAAATTAGCCTTACCCTCCTAGTATAGCTGGACATGTAAAAAAGGATACGAGCAGCTCTAGTGAAACTACAACAACCAGACACATATACCAAAATTTTCGTCACATTGAAATTCGACAGAGCTTTAGTAGGAATCATGGGTTGAGAAATTGGATACAAGCCAGCTGCATAACAGCTACGCTACCAAAAACCCATTGTACACGCTATGGTGAGAGAAGAAAGTAGTGGATTAGCTGAATAACCTCCATCCAAAGTAATGGCTACAAGAAAAGTAATGTAGAAATAATAGGTCCAGTTCAGTGGTTCAGAACTTACAGTCGAAGTTCTTCCAGCCAATTCGATTGTTCACATTGTCGTACACAACCAGCTGATCTTTCAACACATTATCTGCCACCAGATGATATACAAGGAAAGAAGGCATTAGATCAACCACTCCATCTCGCACATATGATGACGAACTGAACGTAAACAACTAAGACCACTAGCTCCAAACCAAGGGCAACACTAACGGTATGAAAAATAAAACTCATCTGGCAACAGACCTTCCTGTACTAACCTCTTCGGCAACGATTTCTTCTACATTATCTATTGATCGGATAAAGATGGAAAAAGTCCTGAAGATTCAAACTAAACATGCCAGAAAGAAAGCGTCGCAAACCAAAATTTTCTTTCAACGTGTCGGCATCATTTCAGCACGAAAACAGGATTCTACCTCCAAATATTGTATAAGACAAGTAGCCATATACGCTCGTACTTTCGAGCCAACTAAAACAATACGCTGATAAACCAGTCTGCACGACATGCTCATGAATTAGTGCATGGTAACAAAGTAAAATCCTGAAAATATAACAGGCGATTTTCTTGGTGGTCCTCCTACTAAAGTACAACACACCATTTGGCTAGAGATTAAAGCAAACACGCATACCGTGAGCATTTCCTTATAGAGGTAACTACTCGGGCTCAACAACATAGCTGCTCCCCCAGCGAAGTAGAGAGTAACGTTCGGAAAATAGCCCTCTATTCTGCACATAGAGATTGGCAAGTTAATCGAAGAGAAAGTTGTATAAGCGTTGCAGACTGTGTGTAAATTGAAGTCGTAAATAAACAGGAAAAACCTAAAAATTTGGTAAATATGATCTTCAGAAATGTCCATACAGGTTAAGATGTGTAAGGAAAAAATAACTTTCAACTTTACATGTCGAAATCATACTTTTGGATCATAGGGTGGCTAGATTCCTACATCTCTTCTTAGAAAAATTACTGCAGCTTGACTCAACATCAAACAAGGTATGAAGTGCCCCATGAAGGATAACAAACCTGCCAGAATAAATAAAACAATATCTCTTGTTGCCTTGACTATCACTGATCTGACTAGGTGGGATAGGTGAAGCACTAATCACCTACCAGCACAATACAACATATAAATGTTACCGTCAGCACCACTTACCCACTGCAGTATTAACAGTTGAAGGAACTGAAAATCACACAAAAAACAGCCATGTATCGATTCTATCAATGCAGTAGCCGCACTCAACTCTTCAAATGTCAAGTACTACGATTGCTTAGGCTCAAAATCGACAATGACTTGTTGGGTGGAAGTAAGTCAACTGCACAACTTTTAGTATAATTTACCATCAAAAGATTATTGTAATATCATTCATGTAAACATTACGTGCAAAAGAATTGGAAAGCAACTGGAAGAACACCACTTCGCATACAGTCACGTACTTTCGCTTGAAATTGATCGTATGCTGGCTGCACCAGATACGTAAGAGTGGTTCCACTGTCCATAATAACACCGCCTGAGTTCGATAAATCGAAAGCAGTAGGTGTGGTGACATTCGTCCCACTAACGCCGATATTCAACAATTCTACATTGTAATGACTCCTGCATCCCAGCAGAAGATAAAAATCAGGCTTTGCATCCAATTTCTTCCTGTGTGATGCTAACATTTAATGCCCTCAATTCTGAACACCGCTATGTAATTCAACCGTAGTTATTCTATCAAATTTTAATACAAAGGACTTTGAGAACACCGAGGTCAAAGCCGTCGGGATCGCTATATTGAGCTAGAGATAGCCGAGTCCACGACAGCTGACCTATGAAGAGAAATAAAAGTTATTATTGTTATACAATATTGTAAAACAATTAACATATAATAAAGCGGAAGAAGAAAGAAAGAAAGAACAACTCATCCATGTCGTTCAATCTATCTCAGTCCTAGCCTCGAGAAAACACCGTCAGAAACTTACTGCTTAGGCACTATAGGAGTGTAAACCAAGCCAGGTTCACGAATGTGCCCAATGACAAGAGTGCCGCTTCCCTTATTGTCTCCTTGTAAGCAATGCGCAAAAATGTTAACCGAGACGTTCTGTTTGGATAATTGACTAGGTAAGGATACTTCTGCCTGACCGAAACCAACAAGGCCATCTGTTAACCATGTCCCTGTTTGATTAGATCCACACCTGTAACTCCAATCAACCCAATTTTACAGTAACTATGTATTCAAAAATGCAGCAGACAATGCGAATGTTGAAAAGACAGTAATTACGATAAAAACAGAAAAACCAAGGTTTTGACATCAAAGTGAGCAATGATTATTATTGCATTACACTTATCATCAACATTGAATTTTGATATTGCCATTTGAATGTCCGGCTGAATGGCAAAGCATCACGAAATCTTCAAGATCCACATAAAAATCTCCAAATTCTAAAAGAACGCCAGCTACTTCGGCATTGAGGGGGAAAGGCTTGCTGACCCAAAAGTAAGCCTCGCAGTACCACTTGTGGCGGTAGAATTGCCACTAGGAACTTGATTAAAAGATAATACGTCATTGATGAGGTATCCAGCCGTGCTGCTACCGTCCCCGTACAAAGTTGAATAAGGGCATGACATTGAATTAAAAGAGCACTTTGAGTTCGAAGCCAAATAACATTCCTCGTCTGTGCAGCTTATACTTGTTTTCGACGTCGACTTTTCAGGGTCGAAGATTGAAATCGGAAGCTACACATGTCACAGTTCCACCAGCTTGCATGTTTATACACGAGACTCCTATATGGTCATTAGCGCAAGTATTTAATAAGAGCCAATGCACACGGGCATTGCACAATTTCTGAATGTACTACCTGAACTCCTTAAGCCAAGCAGTCTGTGACCTGTCCTTTTAAATAACCAGAGAAGGTAAGCTGGTATACATTCCCACTCAAGGTGATGAGCTTTACAGCTTCAACACCTACATGTCCTCCTCAAAAACTAAGGAATTTCAACCCTATGGCTGACACCTAATAATGTGCAACTGGTGAACCCAAAATTTCGTCTTTCCACATAAGATAATGCAAGATTGTGAAGACATACTGTTCTCAGGTTTCAAATTGAGACGAGCTCCATGAATTGAAAAGAAAAACACATTCATTGGATTCAACATACCGCAACGTTGCTTGCACGCTTACAGTTGGTGCAAGGAACGCAATTCACCCATGCGACATCGCTGCCTGTGTCTACATGTACGTAAAATTGCTGTGGCGGTGTGCCTAGGTAAATTCGTGTATAGTACAATCTGAAAGAAGGGAACAAAACTTATCAGTTCAAATTTCACATCAAGGGAGTTCGGGTTGTACTCGTAGTTGACTAGTTTAATTCGGACTGTAAGACCACAAACTTCAGCCTCCGCAATAACCTTTCAACTCAAAAAATTGTACACTCGCCTCTACAAAAATTGACGGCCACTCAAACAGAATGCTGGGGTTCGAATTGCATGTTTTTCGCTAGAAATTGTTCTTGAATGACCCATGAAGGCAAGTTAGTCCTACAGTTTATGCTGTTTCCTTTGATGTCTCGCAATTGCGAAGACGGCACTCTACAAGTATACTTCAATCTCGACTAAAATGATATCCAATTCTAGTTCAAATACATGGTTACGTTAACCATATGTTACATGAACGCTACCCCAAGGTGCCCGTCCCCCCCCCCCAAAAAAAAAAACAAAAAAAACAAAAACAAAAACAAATGAACACTAACAAATGAACTGAAGCGAAAACAAAACAAAATCTCGCTTCCACAAACTTTCAAATCTGGTACTTGATTCACGCCCAGAGCAGACAAGGTCACCCAAGTCATCCAAAAGAATCAGGAAAAACACGGCGACTATTCAGAATACAGGAGCTTAAAATCCACGCAAAATTCAAGCGATTTGCATCACAGTTAAAGCAGAATCGAAGGTAAAGCTCGATCCTAGGAGGTCAAGGGCAAAATCGGCAGCACAATGGAACGCGTCGAAACCCCCCCCCCCCCAACCCTCTCTCTCACTCTTGCGCAACGATCATCGCTCTCAATCAAACCCATTACCCCGTGGTGAAGGTGTCATCGTCGCCGGAGATGGGGAAAGCAACAACTTCAGGCAAAATGCGGCGCAGGCGCCGCTGATCATGCTCACGCAGTGTGCGATAATACTCCGAGGACATGCCCCGACCGTGGGTAGCCATGGCAGTCGACCCATCCAAGTGCGAATACGCGTGAACCAGGTGGAACCGATGCTGGGCACTACACCGCCACACACTCGCCACCATCATCGCCACCCACATTACCCCCGCGACGAGGCCTCTCCGTCGCCCCATCCCCATCGCCTCCTCCTCTCAACTCCCTCCTCCCTGCGCCCCAATTCGAAATCCCGACACCATCCCCCAATGCAATGAAGTCTCCTGTTCTCTCTCTCTTGATCTCTCTCGCTCTCTCTTCCTCCTCCTCGCGCTTCAACGCTTCCGCATGCCCGGCTCGCGTCGGTGTGCTGCAGCAGCAAGCCCTGGCGCCGCGCCAGCTCCCCTCCTCTCTCACGTGATCCGAACACTCTGTATCAGTTTCCCTGTGGTGGCCCCATCAACCCATTCGTGTGGGCCTTGCTTTGCTTCGCTTCTTCGTCTTCTTCGTCTCTTCGTTCCTACTTCTACTTCTTCAGCTTCCTCTCCTTCTTCAGCTTCTTCTTCTCCTTCTTCTGCTGCTGCAGCGACGCGACGACGGCTTCACGGCATCGCAAAGCATCGCAAGTGTCCAGTTCCAAGGCTCCAACGTCATGACTCCTTTCAGCACCCATCACGGCGTAACATCTAAGGATCACATGGTGGTCCTGCCCCAAAAAACACATCCACCCCTATCCCCGCGCAGCGTTGATCACGGCGTAACATCCAAGGATCACATGGTGGTCCTGCCCCAAAAAACACACCCACCCCTATCCCCGCGCAGCGTTTGATGAATGTACCCCACTTCGGCTGGCTTCATCGGTATTTTATTGATTCGTCCAGTTGGGCTCTAAGGTTGCGGGCTTGGGCAAAACCCACTTGCTCTCCGGAGTGTGAGATTCTCACAACTACCCCCCTTACAATAGCCAAACACAATTAGGGTTTTGATTGAAGAAAACGCACACCACCACATTACTTAAGAAAACTTGAATCTTTGAGTGTTGCTTGGCCCCACAATGTTCGACTATGGTGATGTATTTGGGGTGTGAGAACTTTAAAGGTTGACCTCACCCCCCAACAATGTCCAAGCCTCCTTAAGTATGTGACTTTTAATGGATATGTCACATGTAACTTTATTGGAATGTGTTGTGTTTGAAAGATATCTCATTCCACAACTTCGACCAACTTCCATATTTGATATTGAGCTTTTCTAGGTCAACTTAGGTCATTAGATTGTATAACTTTTGAAGGGCATTTTCTTTCTTGATGGTTGAAAGCAATGAGGAGTAATGTTCTAGAGAAATTTTGATCCCCCAAAATCTAGCAACATGAGGATGTATGAACTCTAAAATGTAAGGTTCCAAATATTATTCAAAATGATTGTTGAATGTGGAGATTTAAAGACAATTTACAAGATGTTATTTATTGATTATAAGTTTCAAAATTTATTTCACTAAAATTTATTTTTAAATATATTATTAATTATTTCTACTTATTATTGATTTAGAATTTTATTACAATGTAAATTTAAATTTTATTACAATGCAATTATTTTATTATTATTATAATTATTATTATTTATAAACATATAGGCAAACCAATATATGTTGTAAAATTACAACATTAATTTAAAAGTTATTACGATTAAAATTATGCAATTTTTAAATATTCCACATTTTTTTTGTGTTCCACAACCTTTAGTTATAATATTTTTTATATTTATATTTATATTTTTTAAAACATTATTACTCATATTTACTATCAAAAAAATTAAAATAAAAAATATGATTTTTATGCAAATTTTTTAATTTTAAAAAATAAAATATTAATATGATTATTTTACATGCATTTGTTTGAAACATATGCATTAATCTTATTCATAAAATGACATAATATCTTTGATTTAAATTGACAATCTTGATATATTTTGTATGATTTATACAAAATATGATATATAAATAATATTTTGTATAAATATATATATATATTAATATATATTAATATATATATATTTATATATATATATATATTATGATACATAAATTGATTTTATTTTTTATAATATTTTATAATATTTTCTAAGATATAAAAAAATAGCACATTATTATAACAACTTGAAATTGTAATTCTAAAGTCACTCATGGTATATTTCTAACTCTCACCTGCATTAAGTTAAAATGCTTCTGGAATTACTCAATTGATTTGTAGTATCTTGTTCCTAAGTTTTGCTTGACAAAATTTTGTAAGGATTCTAATTCAAATTGTCAAGTTTTTCTATTAGGATCACAAATTAGACATTCAAAAAGCTATAACATAACATGTATATTTTAAGTGTATGTTGTGTTTGAAATGCAACTAACAAAATTATATACTATATTAAAAAATGCTTTGATAAATTATAATTATACACAATTGTAAGCCAGTTTTATGTGTGTGTATGTATATATATATATATATATATATATATGCATAGTATTACAAAAAAAAAAAAAAAAAAAAAGTCCTATTAGTATTTAATAAGGTTTATTCAAATCATTATGTAATTTAACTAGATAATTTTAAAAATTTGGTACTATATATTGAAAAATATTAAAAGATTTTATAGAAACTATTCTTGAAGAATTAAATAAGATTTGAATGATAAATACAAAAAACTCTAAATAAAAAAATATTAATGAAACTTCCTAAAATATGCATCTTTTATTATCAATTTAATGAAAATCTAGTGTCTCAAATTGCTAATTATTTTTTTATAGAAAAAATACTTTTAATTAAAATTTAAAACTTTAAATTTAAAACATTGTTCTACATACATTTATCAACCATATAATTGTTTAATTTCATGGTTTTTGAAATCAGTTTATTACAAAGCCTTTTAAAATAAGATTTTTGTAGTGTTTTATAGTAATATATGTGTGCATATTACTACATAAGTTCTTTAGTCTTTAAAAGAAATATGTAGATAGTTGAATATTAATATTCTATGTGTAACTTTGACACTGTTAAATATTGCAACCATTCTTCAGAAAGTAGATGTTAAATAGATATAATTTAATCAGTTGCAAAATAATAGAAGAAAAATATAATTAATTTAGAAGTTTATTCCAAGATCTAATTTCTTGGGCAAGAAATACCAAAAACTTTTGACATATTTGATAAAAGAAATAATTATGATTTTTTGTATCAATCTAATTGTGATTTTTAGATTTTGATAATAAAAGTTTAAAATTAAAGTTTTAATAATATAATTACATCTATAATTTATTGTTAATTACATCTATAATTTATTGTTAATTACATCTATAATTTATTGTTTAATTACATCTATAATTTATTGTTAATCACAACTTTATAGATCAAAGTTTAAAATATTATCAACTAATAATCATTCTTTTTATAAAAACATCTTAATGTTAAGTTTTGGCAACCTAATCTTTACTCTTTTGACAAGAGAAATTCTACTATGATAATTGAGATTTTAAAATATATCAATTAAAGATTCATCAATTAATATTTTTAACAACTATTTTTATTATGTTTTACTTGTAAATTATATATTTTTTTAATCAGTGATTTTTATTTGAATAATAGTAATAATAATAATATAATTGCCAATCCACATTACATTCTTGTGTATTAAAAACAATATTGTTGATTAATATAGTATTAAGCAAGACTTAACAATTATTGTTTTACTAGAGATTTAGGATCTTTTTCATTATTTATTTTATTAAAATAATATGTAAATCAAAGACCAAAATAGACTTAATGTATTATTTTATTTTAAATTAACATTTTCTTTATTAGTTACAATTCGTGTTTTGTCCAAGTAGAGATTTTTGCAACTCTTTCTTACATTGTGCATCACCATCACTTTATGCATTCAATTACAAAAAAATAACATTAATTATTTCTTTAGTTACATTGTCAAATTACATTTTGAGTGTGATCAAAAGCATTATATTTCATACTATATTTAGAATTAGCATGTTATGACAACTTAGGTATATGACTGATCTCATTTTAGTTGCAAAATTTGTCTTGCAAATACTGTATTTTATTCTCCATCTTTCTCAACTTGTGGCTATTTTTAAAAAATCTTATGCTCCTCCATTCCAAATATGAAGTTGAGATGTGTTCATTTCTGGCTTTCAGGTATAAAATTAAGTACCTTACTTGTAAACGAAAATAAGATCCATGATCAAGCATTGTTTTTCTGAACATAGTTACATTTTGATCTAAACTAGGAATTCATCATTAACTGTCAAATATTAACCAACTCATATTAATATCATAAAACGTAAAATTCCTAAACTTGGATATCAAGAGAAGCAAAGAGTACAACAGATGAATTAGAACATATGATTACAGTAGAAATCTTGGAAATCACAAAGCCTTGGTTACTTACCAAAAGTAAGTCAAAACAGTAAGAGCAGTTCTACTCCAAAAACATATTCCGATAACCTCAGTGTTGCGTCAAGCGGAATCTGAAGGCATCAAATAATACTTGCATCTAACATTGAGTTGGGGGTACTCTCCTATTCTCCGACCAGAAGTGACGCATCCAGTGAAGTGTCCAAAAAAGAAAGAAAGGGAGTAAAATGACAAGAAATAAAACTACCTTTCATTTCCACCTAAAGGAAATCCACCTGCGACTGTACTCATCCATGCTCCCATCTGAGTCCATGTTGAAAACAAATGGCGACACCATTTGGTTCCAGTGTACGTTGAACTGGTTAAGACAAGGCGGACTATCTGCATAATGGTGCCGATGTATGGATAGACTTTTAACTGAAAAGAATATTCGAGGGTCACACCAAGTTTGATCTTCCGTCTAAACCTTCAGATAGTGCCCTTATCTGCCTGTTTCACAGCACCATTTCCAAATCCAATTTGTGTTTCACCATTTCCAGTCTCATTCATCAACATGTCGAATGAACGCTTCTTGGATGGTTGACTGCTGTTGACAATTCCTGCTGGAACAACTGCAACAGGCTCTGCCCGTTTGATTCCCCGACCTACAACTCCAAGATCGGTTACAACAGCAGTTGAAGAGGTAAAATTAGCAAGTGTCGGCTGATCGAACCCATTAGACGTCTTGATGCCATCAGCTGTTGAAGACGAGGAGCCACCAGAATCACTCGCTTGACTTCCAGCGGCCAACGAGAAAAGTTGCTTCATGCTGGCTGCCGCTTCAGGATTCGCTGCTTGGAGCTGCTCCACCAAGGTTGGAGCTGATGCCATTTCTTTTAATTCTTGTTCCTGCAACCAGTAATAATGACCACCCGTAATGTTCCTTTCACAATAAAATCAAATTCATAATACACACACAAACCAGAACTACTGAAGAATTGATGAAATGCTACAGGACTTCACCTTGTCTTTGAGATCCACCAGTAAGTCTTCAATGTCTTTAATCTCATTAACCTTCGACTCCGCTGCAGATTTCTCTTCGGTAGGAGGATTGATAACCTCGTCATTATCATGTTCAGTAGCTTTCATGCTTCCATTCGTCTGAGGTTCGGAATGCTCGACGTCCACAACGGAGGCGGCCTCTGAAGTCCCCAGTGCATCAACTCCCTCAGTGTGTACATTGTTGATTTCATGCTTGAGTCTTTGTACACGAGCCTCGCATACAGCAACTGCATTACTACAGTATATGAGTGCCTCCTTAGGTTTTAAATCAAGTTGCTTGGCAATAGCGATCTTGAAATACCTGTCAAAAACATACGTCGAAGATTATGAGGACCAGAAGGCGTGCATTCTTCAAACTTAGATCCCTAAAAAAGAGATGAGTTCGTCTAGGCAAGCAACTGGGATACGAAGAGCCAGTAAAGAGTAAAGCATTACAGTTCCGCTAGTATCCGCGAATCTGGTTCAACAATTTGCTTGAGCATTTCCAACGCTTTAGCATAGTCTTCATAACATGCCTCGTAATTTTCTGCACACAGAAAGCCCAAGTCAACGAAGTTAAACCCAGTGTATATGGAAGCGTCGAGAGGGATATAATAATGATTGTGCTTAAATATGAAACATTAGCTGGACTGTAATCAAAATCTAACATAACTGATTCAGAGTCAGCCCCATGTACCTTTGAAGCAATTTACGTCTGCAAGCTTGGTTATGATATCAACAGCCTCAATTGTACGGCTGTCGAGCTTTTCATGAATGACTCGAGCAAACTCCAGCATCTTCCAAGCATCCTCCAGGTCTCCCTCTTCCTCTTCTTTCCCTTCCTCGCCCTCACCCATGACATCATCTTCGTCTCCATCATCATCTCCGCCAGCCTCCTCTACAGGGTCTTTGCCGGTGACCTCTGGTTCTAGTGCAAAGTCCGGAACCAAACAAATTCGTCAACAATAATCTCGAATAGCACAAGTAGTAATGTAAATCTAGTATCGAATCAACTGAACCTCAACTAGATTAAACAAGAACTGAACTGATCCAAAGCTTTGTAAACCCTCTCATACATTTTCAACACTGCCGAGTCAAAAAGGAGAAATATACACAACTCCATACGACTTTAATCCGAAGTTAGACATAAGTTCTTTTAAAAATCTTAAACAAATAAACAAAACAACAAACGAAACCTTACATGCAAATGTACATACTACGATGGAAACGTGAAATGAAAGACAAGTAACAAAACTCAGCGGAACTAGTCGGCTCTTGTCAGTGATCAATGCAGCAAAGTTCTATCTCAAACTTTAGCCTCGATATTCATCGAAAGCACACAATATTATTTTCAGATGACATTTGATTGACAGTGAGTTTCGTGGACTCCCAGCATGAAGTCGATAACAAGAAAGTTGTGGTGCAACCTTTGCCTGAAGATCCTTCTGGATGAGAAGATGGAAGGGCGGGATTTGGGTTGACAGTTTCGCCGAGAGGATCGGCCTCTTCCTGAAGTTTGTCGAATAAAGCGCATCCGTACTTAAAGTACGTTGTCGCACATTCAGGAGCAAGCTCTCCAAAATGTCGCACTCTACAGCATTCAAGCACATGGAACATTAACATGAAAACTAAGGTAGATACGTAGTTGGAACAATCCTACGAAAATTTGCGGTCTGATGTTTCTCCTACACGAAGCCAGGGTAGGTTTACGTTACAGCTGCTAGCAAAATCTAAAACCCTGGCCAAATTATCCGTTTAACAAATAGAGGTGGCAGCCGAGGACATATGAACATGTTCGTATCAAAGGCGAAACAACTCCTACTACAAAAGAAACCCAATATTACCTCCACGTGTGAGGTGAATATCAGGGACAGTATCTGGCATTCCGTCTCTTCGAACATCTACAGTGCAAAACCCTACATTTCCTGGCTAGATGCTGACATGAAGATTACGAAACTAAAAGTAGGGTTTCAAATGCAAACTATCCAGAAACACATTTTGCGACAGCGGAGGAGCCAAGACGTTTAAGTTCCATTAATCGCAGACGTGATGAGCGCATAAATCATCAATTGTGCACTAAACCCCTTTTTGACAAAGAAACTACCTGTACAAAATGGGCGCTTAGTAGCTCACTAAAAAGAAGTACGCAAAAAGGCCATTACAAACATGGCACGTGGACAACCCCTAGAAGAATCGACGCAACACCATCTCACCACACTGCGTCTTCATATAAACTAACGATGACAACTATTCGAAACAAAATGAACGATCCCGGCTACCTCAGGTTCGCTGCTCGAAAGGATACGAATGACAGAAATCACAACAAAAGCTCCCGGAATTGACATCAAACTCGAGCTGTGCACTAACAAAGCCGCCACAGCAACAGACCTCAAAACCTCAGAAAATAGAAGAATTAAGGAAAGACGGTGGCCAACGCTTACCGAATCTCGAGCGCCTTGCTGAAACACTCGGCAGCGTCTTCGAACGCCTCATTGTGCATGAACTCACATCCATCGTCGAATAACCGTTGCGCCTCCTCCAAATCCACGGCAGCAGAACCTTGCGTCGAAGTCTCTCCATTAGTGGCACCATTGCTTGAGCTCGCCTCCATGACTATGTCCCGAGAACCTTATCTGGCAATCGCTTGCACAATCAATCAATCGTCTGCGCGTTCGGTGCACTCTGCAATTGAATGCGCAAATGGCAAAATCAAATTGCGAGCACAACGTTCTGGAGCCCGTGGGGTTCAAGTCTCGTCGTTGTCCTTGCGCGCTCTTCCCAGCGTCAGCTTCCCCGCTTTCTTCTAAAATCCACATCCTTAGATGATACTAAACTGTGATAGATATCTTCTGGAATTGTAGATTCTTAGTTGTTGAAGAACACACGGGGAATTTAATACAGGTTTTCTTGATGCAACGGAAAACAAAGACACGATATTCCTTTGCACACGATGGATGAATAATGTGGATGAATACGTTGATGAATGTTATTGACTGAATATGACATCGTTTGGATGAGAACAGCTAAGATGACAGAAATCAGTCGTTTGGTTGCTGACCGAACGAATCAGGTACCATGGACTGATGTCATGGTCATGGAAGCAGGATATGAGGTTTCTATGACCGCGCGGTCTTAGGAGCAAACTTCAGGCGATTTATTGCAAGTTTGGACAAGAAGTAGAATGAAATGATTAAAAGCAATTTAATGATTAAAATGCGTAGAGTAAAATCTTCCATATTAAGGTTCTCTGAAAGGCTTCGTTATAAAAGATTTCCAGAATTATGTTTTTTTTTTTTTTTTTTTTTTTTCTTTTTTCTTTTTCTTTTCTCTGTTCACTTTTTTTTAATGTATGAATGTTTCATTATTTTTCCTGCAACCGTGTATAATGTATATGTATGTATACATATATATACATATATATATATATATATATATGTAAAAAAATCTAATTGTCTCAGAAATGTGCATTTTGTATTTATGTGTAAGCATTATCCACAGCAAAGAAAAGAAAGGAAAAACGAGGAAGATTTCACGTGATATTTTTTATTGATAACAACGAGAAATCAATGACAAATAGTTTAAATATTCACACGACATTTTGTGCTGCTCATGTATACACAAGTCTCATTTTTACGTTTTTATTACTTTCGTGTTTATATAATTTGAATGATAAAACTGGACGATTTTTGAACACACTCAGTAGTTATTCAAAGCTCAACAAGGACCAGTTGAAACAGCGTGATCACAAATTCATATTTCACAAGTATAAAAACCACATTTCAAAACCAAAAAATACCCACATCAATCTAAATAGTGTACACAATTTTGGAAGGAAAGAAGAAGAAGAAGAAGGAGAAGAATGTAAGCTTAAAAAAACACACGTAGTGATAACCATTTTAACATCCCATCATGTTCCAAAAAGAATTACAACTTCTAACTCACAAGTGCAAAGTTCTTCAAACCACGCAAGAACTGCACACAACACAGTGTATACTGCCCCTAATATCAAATTATAAAAATCTACTAAGTTGCATGCTATAAGAAGAACAAAACGGATGAAGTCAAATAGGATGAACGCTGGATGGTGTTAATCGATACGCTGACTCTCGTCGAAGAGAAAGGACCGGGAAGGAGGAAGAGAGAGGAAAGGGACGAGAGGAGAGAGGAGGGAGGGAAGGGGGAGCCGGAGTGCGAGTGCCGTTGGGGGAGGGCTAAGTGAGGCTGTTGTGACGAAGTGGTGTTGGTTCCATGGCGTTAGGGTTGTGGCGCAATTGCTGCTACGCCCTTGCACTCCACACCCAGCGCTCTTCTCCTCCTCCTCCTCCTTCGTCTTATCCTTCCTCTGTCATGCGGCACCCCTTGTCCCCGCGTGCTTGGTGTTGACACCACCGACGCACGTCCGGATCACAACTAGGGACGGACGGACGTCCAGTTCCAGTTCCAGTTCCAGTTGGAGTTCCATTTCGAGTTGTCACTGTTTTCAGGGGGTGGAGGAGGAGAGGAGGAGCAGTGGCAGTGGAGGGGTCCGTCGGTCGGTCGGTCGCCATGTCGGACTTGGATCGTCAAATCGAGCAGCTCAAGCGTTGCGAGCCTCTCAAGGAGTCCGAGGTCAAGGCGTTATGTCTCAAGGCCATGGAGATTCTGGTGGAGGAGAGCAATGTGCAGCGAGTGGACGCACCTGTGACTGTGAGTGTTTCCGGTAGATCGGACTTAGTCCGTGGTCTCTGTGCGGTGGTTTTTCTTTGAAATGAAGTGGTATTCTTGTGCCGACGTTCTGTTTTTTGTTTCTTAAAATTTTTCGCCATATTTTCATGAAACTTAACTGCTGATCGACCAACTTAATTTTACGTGAAAGCGATGTCTACAGTTTCGAGAACGATTATGTTTTATTTTAATTAATTTATTTTGCCCCGATGGGTCCGTGTTGCCTATTGCTACTTTCCCTTCTTATGGCTGCTTCTTTTCAACTTTGAATATAGATTTTGTCGTGGATTGACTCAGTAAGTAGCTAGACCTTAAATATGGTTTTTTTTTTTTGTTGCAAACCTGGAATTTTGATGGAACATTTAATATGTGTGCCTCTAAGTTGGTCTGTTTGTGTTGCAAAGTACGTATTGTGGCTTTTCTTTGAATTGCCGCTTATGTGATTATCTCGTGCGTTTTTCCATGACATCGGACGTAAGGATCATGTCCGGATTTGTGATTAGGTTTTTGCAGAGCTGGGATGCAGTTGACTGTACTTGATGTTTCTCACGTATTTTTGTCAATGTATATCATTATGCTGTGAATGGTGTGGTCTTTTGTCCTTCAGTTTCGTCTGAACCGTGTTTTTGTTCTGTTTGCGAAGTTCTATGCGTCAACCGTGAATCTAGTCCACCTACATTGCTATTTCGGTGGGCAAATTCATTTGCTACTGGAATTTATTTATCTGAGATATTCTCCTGTTTCGGTTTCATTCGAAATTGCAATAAGTTTTTGCCGTATCAGTGTTACGGAGTCGGTGTTTACAACTTGAATACATTTTAGAGGTGATGATAAGAGCGCTTGTAACTGCTTTGCTTGATCTTGAAATCTGTTTTAATATCAATCGACGTCTCATCAGTTAATTTGGATGTTTTCTGTATCGCAGATTTGTGGTGACATACACGGCCAGTTTTATGACTTGAAAGAGCTCTTTAAAGTGGGAGGAGATTGTCCCAAGACGAACTATTTGTTTCTTGGAGACTTTGTCGACAGAGGATTTTACTCAGTGGAGACTTTCTTATTATTACTTGCTCTTAAGGTACTTTATCTTGGCGATTCATTTTAATGTATTACATTTTCGGGTTTTAAAAACTTCCGTATTCTTAAATATCTATGGAGGACACTTGGGTTGGGATTTTGTTGTTGCTTTGTAATTCCACGTCAATTGCAAGTGTTGTCAACCTTGCACATTTTTACTTGAATGCCCCACCTCAAATGGATCCTCCTGTCGAACTTTTAAGTTCTGTAGAGTGTCCAGTTGTCATGTAGTTGTTAGAGATGAAGTGGATCAGCTGTAGATGAGTCTGTTAATGACCATTCTTTCGTGCAGGTGCGGTACCCCGATCGAATAACTTTGATCCGCGGAAATCATGAAAGTCGCCAGATTACTCAGGCAAGTGTCTGGGCCTCGTTTCAGTGTTTTGACTGTCTTCTTTTGAATAATTCGGTTTTCGGTGTCTATTATTTTTGTAGTGCCTATTTAACTATCAATGTTGGAAATGACGGGGATCGATCATTTGGGTTACATTTTTACACTATTTTTCAGAAACCTTGTTATTTATTTTTTTAGCATCGTTTGTTTCTGTTTCGCGTGGGGTTTAACACCTACAGGTGTATGGATTCTATGACGAGTGCTTACGGAAGTATGGTTCAGTAAATGTCTGGCGTTATTGCACTGACATATTTGACTATTTGAGGTTTGGAACGTTCCTTCGCGCTTCAGCATTTAGAACACCCGCATCTTTATCAATTTATAGTCGATTCTTGGATGAAATCATTTATAATCTTCGCAATGTGCCTTGTATGCTTGTCTTGCCAAATCTTCATGTATGGTAGAGGAACCAATTTGTGCCGCGTAGGTTGTTTTCCATACATGCTCACCGTTATAATGTTGCATCCGTACCTGATGTATCCGTATCATTTTCTAACTCTCCATGTGCTATAGTCTTTCAGCACTAATCGACAATCGAATTTTTAGCGTTCATGGTGGATTATCTCCTTCCATCACCACCATTGATCAGGTTGGTTGTGCCTACGCTTGCTTGTTTATATCTTGCTTTTAATATTGTAGTTAACTTATTCTTTATTACATCCTTCTTGTTCGACGTTGAGCAGAGTTAGAGTCGTTTAGAATGTTGCTTACCGAGACACGCCTGATGTCTGATGCCTGCTGACCTCGTATCACAACTTTTCTTGATTCATCCTTTTTCTCTTACTTGTAGTTCATCTTTAGTAGTTTTTGGATCCTCGCTAACTACGTCGTTGTTATACTTGTTTTGCTCGTGACACCGGTTTTTGAGTGGTTGATAATGTGTGGGTGGCAGATTCGAACTATTGATCGCAAGCAAGAGGTGCCTCATGATGGAGCAATGTGCGATCTTTTATGGTCAGATCCCGAGGAGATAGAGGGCTGGGGACTTAGCCCACGGGGTGCAGGTTATTTATTTGGTGGTAATGTAGCCACCACATTTAATCACACAAATAAAATTGAGACCATTTGTCGAGCACATCAATTGGTTATGGAGGGGTTCAAGTGGATGTTTAACAACCAGGTTGTCACGGTATGGTCAGCTCCGAACTACTGCTACAGGTAATTTATCCTGCACGTAAGGTCAATCAGTTAAGATTAGTCAGATTTGAATTTGTTCATGCTTAGTATGTACTGATTTCAGAAATATCATCTTGGAGCAGATGTGGTAACGTTGCAGCAATCCTGGAGCTAGATGAGCATCTGAACAGAAAATTTACTGTGTTTGAGGCTGCTCCCCCTGTAAGTCTATCAATCTATTTGTTCATGCTTTTCTTTTTCTTTTCTTTTTCTTTTCTTTTATAATTTGGTTTAGTGCACAAGATATAAGGATTCTTCAGAAGAGCAGCTGGGCTCCATTCTACTGAGGAGTCATGTTCAATTCACAGTAAAACGCTAAGCTTTCAAGTTTCCTCGAACGAAATGGTGGCAATGTGACAACTTTAATATTGGTTGTCTCGCACGTACCTCTTCATTAGTGGACGTTCTTGGGTCCATCGCACAGCTATATACGCATAAATCTATGTACTTAGAACGAGATTTGATTTCTCTGAGTGCATGGAAGTTTGTCTCACAAGTTTTTGGCTGCACAGGAAGCCAGGGGGGTGCCATCAAAGAAGCCTGTACCAGATTACTTTTTGTAAAGCTTCTCAGAGCCCAAGGTTTGTAGGATTGAAATGATGTGAGGATTATTGCATGGCAGTTTTCTCAGTTTTGTAAATGGTTGGTGGGAGATTATGGACGTACTGCTGGGGTTGCAGTTGAGAGTTGTCACCACGTACTTATACTACTTTCTTTCTTTAGTACTTTGGTACATCCCGACCTCCTTGCAGGCAGTTGGTGATTTCGTTAAATATTAGCTCTACAGTTCGTATCATATTTGTAGCATATAGGGAGAGGATAAGGTTTCCACTTTCAGAACCATATTGCTTCACTCAGCCTCAGAGTCATTGTAAGGTCGTAATCTTGAATTCCACCGTGTACTTCAAGTCCTTGTATTTTGGAGAGCAAACTTCAGGTTCTTTGAGGATTGATGTGTATGTAGAGTATATTACTTGCACATGCTTTGCCTGACTTTCACTACCATAAATCTCCGGTTGACAGGAAAATGAATATTTTTACTCTCAAGTCAAAGTTTTTGAATCTTAATTTCGGGTTTTGGCCACTAAGTACCTACTAATCTGATTTATGTATAAAGGCTAGGTGTGAAGATTGTTTTAGTATCATGTGTTGTCCTCAACGTATATAACCAATATAACCAATCATATTAAAAGAATCACAAGAGACTCAGTTAAGAAAATATCACACATGCCCCTGAATTCTTCCGAAACATCTTGATAATAACAAATCTACTTTTTGTGATAATTGCAAAAATGCCCCTCGGAGTGATTACCTATCTAATTCCGGGTTTTTTTAGCTCAAACTGGGGCTCGGAACGGCTCTTTTCCGCACTGTCTGGGCCCCGCGGGAATCGGACGCCTCCCCCAGCTGCAATCGCTGATTTTCCGGCAGTATTGCCTAGTTTCCGTCAGCCAAAATCAGTCCTGATGTTTTAGAGCTAAGGAATACTGTGGAGTAGTCTCATTTTGAAGGATAAGTTTTATGAAACCATGTCACCACACCACATTCAGCAATGGATGTGCACAATCTGCGCATTAATTCTACTGAACAGACACGGAACTAACTCCTCGTTAAAGTGCTGATATTTTAACTGAGACCAATATTGTTCTAAAAGCCTTAGCCTTTGAACCAGCCTTCTATCCACGCAAGAATTCACCATGTAAAACCCATCGGAAATGACCCACCCATTAGAGCGGAGCAAGGAACAGGTAATGACAATACAAATGCCTCTGCGCACTGATTTTTAGGAGCATAAACATTCAGTTTGCAGAAATCTTAATGTAATCGATCGGCTTGAATCAACCAATGAACACGTCTCATACGACATCGGTTTGAATCAATCAATGAACACGTCTCATATGGGATTTTGTTTTCAAAAATTGAAAACAAATTACATCTTAAGTGATAAATGTTTTTAATTAATTTCAACGAAAATCAACAAAAAATTTACGTAACCCTAATGTTCATCTATCTTGTTAACACTCCATATTAATAAACTAAGTTTAGAATCAACTTTAAACACCAACAAAGAAACATCTGAATGCAAACTAAACAAACACAAGTACAACAAAAATTCTATTGTTTTCAGAAGAAACTTAAAAACTGGCTATCTCCAACTAATGCCAGGTGTTGCCACCCCCCCCACCAGTTAGGGCAACCACATTGTGGATGAATGCAGATGTCACGAACTAATGAACATCGACGAAAATGCTGACGGATGAATGTTGTTCGCGCGTCGGTGGGTCACCAGGGCGGCTAGACGACGAGCGTGAACTTGAATTGCAAGGCCAGCGAAAGAGTTTGGGATAAACCGGAGTGAAGCAGCTGCTCAGCAGAGCTCGTCGTCTTCTTCGTCGTCGGCTTGGAAAAATGTCGAAGAAAAATAAGCTGAGCACGCGGGTGAAGCAGCACATCTTCGACTTGAAGCGTAAGCCGACGACGCCCTTAACTTCACACTCAGTGTCTCAGAATTTGTCCTTCTACAAGGGTGACGACGAATTAGGGGTTTTTTTTTTTTTTTTTTTTTTTTTTGATGGATTGTTTATTTGTTTTGGCTGCCGGCGAAATCGTTTTTATTTTTTATTGTCTGGTTCTTTGATTCCGCGAGAGATTTCAAACCTTTGTTGTGGGTTTTACGAGGTTTTGGTTATTATGTTGGGTTTTAGTGGCGAATTAGGGTTTATGGACCACGAAAATGGTCCCCTGTGGCGGATGTGTCAAAGAGGGTTTTGGCGTATGCCGTGTGATACGCTTCTAGATTTTTTTTGATAGGTGCATTGGTTTAGTAAGTTTTGTGGCGTTGGCGAAGGGTGGAGTCTGCGAGACGAGGATGTGATGAGGCTTAGCGGATTCTTGAAGTTGATTTCGATTTTTTGGTGCAGGTGAGAAGGAAGAGCAAGAGAAAAGGGCTAAGAAAGCAGAGAAGCAGAAAAAGAAGGTAGAAGAGAAGAAGAACAGCATGAAGGTATGATGGAATGTTTTAGAGTACGAGGAGGGTTTTGTCGATATTTTTGCCCTATTCATACGTCTCAGAATTCGACACCTTTTCTAATCCATTGCGTATTATTTTAATTCTGTGCAAATTAAGAAGACCCTTATTGTTGTGGGGTCAGTGCATTCGAGGCTGATGTTTTATTGAATGTTCAGGTCGATTCCGGCCCGGGTAGCACAGTTAGCAAGGTTGGCAAGCAAATTAAAAAGAAATCACACAAGGTTGGTAAAAAGAGGGATTTTAAGCTCTCTGCGACAACGAAAGCGAAGGCAGCACAAGCAATGGCAATGGAAATTGAGAAGTAACAGACAAATCATGTGCCTTGCGCACGGAAGGATGAGTTCCATCAGCATTCATGCCGCAGATGAATCGAACTTGTCCCAAGCTTCTGCAAGTTCCACTGAAAGCTGCATTGGCATTGTAGTGGCACCTTCTAGGTTACATGGAAAATGGATTTATGATTAGACTTAGCAAGTGACTCGAGATCGGGGCCCGGGGCACTCATGCTCCATCGCATTAGCATCAGTACAGTTCAAGTGCGTAACGTAGTGCACTTTGCTACGAAGCTCTGGCCTTGTGCGCTTTGCCTTATCTGTAACCTCAAGAACTCGATGGATATGAATTTTTTCAAGTATCTGTAGTACTGCATGCGAGCTGTGGAAGAAGCCCACTTTTATACGAAAACCAATATTTTATTACACTCCACTAACGATGGAGGTGTCGTTAAATTATTATTACTTCTACGCCCCTGTTACTCTTTACTCTTTACTCGTGCAACTAAGAAGATAATCATATACTGTCCTAGAGTTGTATGTTGTCTTGATCATCTTATAAACTAATTTATTCATCTTCTCTTAGTCATCATATATCATAGACACCTGTCGTAAAATCGGATTCTGCAATCGATTCTGTCAGTCATGCGAGTTACCGCATGGTGGAATCTGAGAAGAATTTGAACTCCTCATTAGATCGTGACGTGCAATATCCATTTCGCGATCACCAGATTGCTATGTAGGGGTGTGTGATTGGAGAAAGAGTCTGTGTAGACATTAGATTAGCAATGGTGTCTGCTGCTCTCTTCTGGCGTCCAGCTATGTTGTCTCTTCACGAGCATCGTTGGTGTATCTAGGTATGCTGTCAGAGGTTGAGGTAAATGTGGAGAAGTTAGTCTCTGCTGCAAATGCGACAGTGAGCGTTACTGAGCGACAGTGTGAGTATTTCAGTACACTTTGGCTATGGGCAACGATTGATTGCGGATTTGTCCTCTGATGCCATTTTGTGCTGATTCCAATTATGCTCTGCAGGCATGTGGACCGTAATGGGCAGTTGAATGTAATAAAAGTTCCTGGAGGCCAACGCTTCCATTCCATTTGCTCTACAGCCCTAAGGTACTCTTATCCTTGTCAGTGGTTGATGTCCCCTGCAATACCTGCGACCTTTATCTTAAATGCAGTTTCTATTCTTGTTTTTGTCTTCACAAGGTTCATCTTTCGCGACGGATTCACTTTCCCTTGTTTTTTATTCGTTTTCTATGGATGTGTATTTTATTTCTCAAGTCATTAACGTTGAAAAGATTTTTAAAGTATGTATAAAATATAATTTATATATCTTTTTGACAGCATACATCTTTGAGGAACTAAATAAGATTATACTGGATACAGAAAGCAAACGAAAAAAACGAAAAAAGTAGTAACAATGGTGGTAGCAGATTCAACCTGAAATAGCTTCCGCTTATTGAGAGGAGGGTGGTGAGTACTGTTGGTGTGTTGATGTGCGGGGGGGCTGAAACCCATTTCCAGACTTTCCATAATATGTCAATAAAAGCAAAAAAAGATATGGAATATCCATGCCTGTCGCATGTGCAGTGAAATCTCGATCTAACTTTATCCGCGGAGTCTATATTTTCGGTGAGGATAGGGGTCACAGACCATGTTACAGATTCTTAAGGAATTTTCAACCTGGAATTAGATTAGACCCATCATTTAAGTAGTTCAATGTTCTGATGGAGCTTCTTGGAGTACTTTCGATGCTTTCCGGTTGTTCTTTCAACAGTTCAAGACACGACCCTCTTGATCTCTGTCGTTAGCAAGTGACGCCGATAGCAGTGTGGTAATCTTGACCATGGAGCCAACATCAGGAGTACCGTGAGGGATCTGCAGCATTGCGTGAGGGAGACCTTGCTACTAAGTTGGTTTAAGAACCATGTTGGAAAATAGCTTAAGTTAGACGCTTACCAGTCTTCATCGTACACACCAAACAAGAACTCCTCATGATGCAGATGTGGAAAGCATTACTGCGACGTATCCTGTGGCCCATCGATATCCGCACCGAAAATTTAGGTCACAAGCTAGTTGTCCGTCGCCATGTCCACGAGTAAAATGCTATAGCGTGAGGTTCACGATGATGTCAACAAGGTCAATCTACAGTATGCTGTAGGGTGTGTACGACCAATTATCTCATTGGGCTCGACAAGTCTAGAGTGCGAATGGTGGGGTTGCATTCTATGTTTTACTCCGCTCTTGATCAGTAAGTCGGAAGCAAGACTTTTCATTGGCCTTTGATGAATGGGTGAGCTGGTTTCGTGTTGGCTATTCATAGCTGCTTATTGGCTAGCATTTGTAGATTCCAAACAATTTCAGCTTGTATAGACTAAGCGTTACTTGTCTCATCTCCCCGGAATAGTATTCGATGCATAACTTGCCGTGTTGGGTTTTGCGTATTGAGACAACCAGTTCATGGTCGACTTCAGCCTGAACGAATGACACTGTCTATTAAAATCGATTTCAACAGGACTGCTCCCAATGGTCAACTCAGTCACAAAAACTGCACTTCACTTCAGTTGATTCGTATGGGACGGAGCTCCGTCACCTATTTCTGTTGTATAACTTGTGGAGGTTGACACCGCTAGTG